TGACGGGTTCCAGTTCACACAACTGGCGGGCTCCGGTTCACTCAACTGGCGGGCTCCGGTTTACTAAACTGGCGGGCTCCGGGTGTTTGACTGGTCGGGCTCCGGGTGGGTGACTGTTCGGGCTCCAGGTGGGTGTCTGTCCGGCTTCGGGTGGGTTCTCGGTAGGGCTTGGGGGTGGGTTCTCGGTAGGGCTTGGGGTGGGTTCTCAGTAGGGCTTGGGGGTGGGTTCTCGGTAGGGCTTGGGGCTGAGTTCTCGGTAGGCCTTGGAGCTGGGTTCTCGGTAGGGCTTGGGGCTGGGTTCTCGGTAGGGCTTGGGGCTGGGTTCTCGGTAGGGCTTGGGGCTGGGTTCTCGGTAGGACTTGGGGCTGGGTTCTCGGTAGGGCTTGGGGCTGGGTTCTCGGTAGGGGTTGGGGCTGGGTTCTCGGTAGGGCTTGGGGCTGGGTTCTCGGTAGGGCTTGGGGGTGGGTTCTCGGTAGGGCTTGGGTGGTGGGTTCTTGGTAGGGCTTGGGGGGTGGGTTCTCGGTAGGGCTCGGGGTGGGCTCTTTCGGGATCGGGATAGGCTCTCGGGCTTTGGGAACCTCTGTAGGGCTTGGGGTAGGTTCTTGGTCGGGCTCAGGGTGGGTTCTCGGTAGGGCTCGGGGCGGGCTCCAGGTACTCAACTGACGGGTTCCAGTTCACTCAACTGGCGGGCTCCGGTTCACTCAACTGGCGGGCTCCGGTTTACTAAACTGGCGGGCTCCGGGTGTTTGACTGGTCGGGCTCCGGGTGGGTGACTGTTCGGGCTCCAGGTGGGTGTCTGTCCAGCTTCGGGTGGGTTCTTGGTAGGGCTTGGGGTGGGTTCTTGGTAGGTATTAGGGCAGGGTTCTTTGTAGGGCTTGGGGGTGGGTTCTTGGTAGGACTTGAGGGTGGGTTCTTGGTAGGGCTTGGGGTGGGTTCTTGGTAGGGTTTGGGGTTGGTTCCCGGTCAGGCTCGGGGTGGGCTCTTTCGGGATCGGGATAGGCTCTCGGGCTTGGGGAACCTCTGTAGGGCTCGGGGTAGGTTCTTGGTCAGGCTCAGGGTGGGTTCTCGGTAGGGCTCGGGGCAGGCTCCAGGTACTCAACTGACGGGTTCCAGTTCACTCAACTGGCGGGCTCCGGTTCACTCAACTGGCGGGCTCCGGTTTACTAAACTGGCGGGCTCCGGGTGTTTGACTGGTCGGGCTCCGGGTGGGTGACTGTTCGGGCTCCAGGTGGGTGTCTGTCCAGCTTCGGGTGGGTTATTGGTAGGGCTTGGGGTGAGTTCTTGGTAGGTATTGGGGCTGGGTTCTCGGTAGGGCTTTGGGCTGGGTTCTCGGTAGGGCTTTGGGCTGGGTTCTCGGTAGGGCTTGGGGGGTGGGTTCTCGGTAGGGTTTGGGGGGGTGGGTTCTCGGTAGGGCTTGGGGGGGTGGGTTCTCGGTAGGGCTTGGGGAAGTGGGTTCTCGGTAGGGCTTGGGGGGGTGGGTTCTCGGTAGGGCTTGGGGGGGGGTTCTCGGTAGGGCTTGGGGGGGGGGGGTTCTCGGTAGGGCTTGGGGGGGGTGGGTTCTCGGTAGGGCTTGGGGGGGGGTTCTCGGTAGGGCTTGGGGGGGGTGGGTTCTCGGTAGGGCTTGGGGGGGTGGGTTCTCGGTAGGGCTTGGGGGGGTGGGTTCTCGGTAGGGCTTGGGGGGTGGGTTCTCGGTAGGGGTCGGGGTGGGTTCTTTCGGGATCGGGATAGGCTCTCGGGCTTGGGGAACCTCTGTAGGGCTCGGGGTAGGTTATTGGTCGGGCTCAAGGTGGGTTCTCGGTAGGGCTCGGGACGGGCTCCAGGTACTCAACTGACGGGTTCCAGTTCACTCAACTGGCGGGCTCCGGTTCACTCAACTGGCGGGCTCCGGTTTACTAAACTGGCGGGCTCCGGGTGTTTGACTGGTCGGGCTCCGGGAGGGTGACTGTTCGGGCTCCAGGTGGGTGTCTGTCCAGCTTCGGGTGGGTTCTTGGTAGGGCTTGGGGTGGGTTCTTGGTAGGTATTAGGGCTGGGTTCTTGGTAGGGCTTGGGGGTGGGTTTTGGTAGGGCTTGGGGGGTGGGTTCTCGGTAGGGCTTGGGGGGTGGGTTCTCGGTAGGGCTTGGATGGTGGGTTCTCGGTAGGGCTCGGGGTGGGCTCTTTCGGGATCGGGATAGGCTCTCGGGCTTGGGGAACCTCTGTAGGGCTCGGGGTAGGTTCTTGGTCGGGCTCAGGGTGGGTTCTCGGTAGGGCTCGGGGCGGGCTCCAGGTACTCAACTGACGGGTTCCAGTTCACTCAACTGGCGGGCTCCGGTTCACTCAACTGGCGGGCTCCGGTTTACTAAACTGGCGGGCTCCGGGTGTTTGACTGGTCAGGCTCCGGGTGGGTGACTGTTCGGGCTCCAGGTGGGTGTCTGTCCAGCTTCGGGTGGGTTCTTGGTAGGGCTTGGGGTGGGTTCTTGGTAGGTATTAGGGCTGGGTTCTTGGTAGGGCTTTGGGGTGGGTTTTGGTAGGGCTTGGGGGGTGGGTTCTTGGTAGGGCTTGGGGGGTGGGTTCTCGGTAGGGCTTGGGGGGTGGGTTCTCGGTAGGGCTCGGGGTGGGCTCTTTTGGGATCGGGATAGGCTCTCGGGCTTGGGGAACCTCTGTAGGGCTCGGGGTAGGTTCTTGGTCGGGCTCAGGGTGGGTTCTCGGTAGGGCTCGGGGCGGGCTCCAGGTACTCAACTGACGGGTTCCAGTTCACTCAACTGGCGGGCTCCGGTTCACTCAACTGGCGGGCTCCGGTTTACTAAACTGGCGGGCTCCGGGTGTTTGACTGGTCGGGCTCCGGGTGGGTGACTGTTCGGGCTCCAGGTGGGTGTCTGTCCAGCTTCGGGTGGGTTCTTGGTAGGGCTTGGGGTGGGTTCTTGGTAGGTATTAGGGCTGGGTTCTTGGTAGGGCTTGGGGGTGGGTTCTTGGTAGGGCTTGGGGGTGGGTTCTTGATAGGGTTTGGGGTTGGCTCCCGGTCAGGCTCGGGGTGGGCTCTTTCGGGATCGGGATAGGCTCTCTGGCTTAAGGAACCTCTGTAGGGCTCGGGGTAGGTTCTTGGTCGGGCTCAGGGTGGGTTCTCGGTAGGGCTCGGGGCGGGCTCCAGGTACTCAACTGACGGGTTCCAGTTCACTCAACTGGCGGGCTCCGGTTCACTCAACTGGCGGGCTCTGGTTTACTAAACTGGCGGGCTCCGGGTGTTTGACTGTTCGGGCTCCGGGTGGGTGACTGTTCGGGCTCCAGGTGGGTGTCTGTCCAGCTTCGGGTGGGTTATTGGTAGGGCTTGGGGTGGGTTCTTGTTAGGTATTAGGGCTGGGTTCTTGGTAGGTCTTGGGGCTGGGTTCTTGGTAGGTCTTGGGGCTGGGTTCTTGGTAGGGCTTGGGGGTGGGTTCTTGGTAGGGCTTAGGGTTGGCTCTCGGTTGTCAAGCTCGGGGTGGGCTGTCGGGCTTGGGGTACCTCTGTAGGGCTCAGGGTAGGTTCTTGGTCGGGCTCAGGGTGGGTTCTCTGTAGGGCTTGGGGTGGGTTCTCTGTAGGGATCGGGGTGGGTTCTCGGTAGGGCTCTGGGTGGGTTCTTGGTCGGGCTCGGGGCAGGCTTCAGGTACTCAACTGATGGGTTCCAGTTCATTCAACTGGCGGGCCCCGGTTCACTCAGCTGGCGGGCTCCGGGTGGGTGACTGTTCGGGCTCCAGGTGGGTGTCTATCCGGCTTCGGGTAGGTTCTTGGTAGGGCATAGGGTTGGCTGCCCAGACAAGTACAAGGGGAATGTTGTCTACGCTTATGTCGACCGTGCTCTAAGCCACAGCTCAGGATGGAAGCAAGTCGATGAAGAACTCTGTAGGGTAAGGCAGGTCCTAGTCAACAACGGCTTCTCCAATGGTTTCGTTGAAGACATCATAAAAAGGAAGGTGAAACACCATGCAACCTCTGAAGAGTCAACTAACACAACACCTGTACCCCCTATTAGACTATTTTACAGGAACTTCTTTTCCACAGCTCATAAAACGGAGGAAAGGGTCCTGAAAGATATTGTTAATAGGAACGTTATCCCTACAGACAAAAATCAGAAGATACAATTGACAATTTACTATAAAACCAAAAAAACAGCCAACCTACTCATGAAAAACTCTCCTGACACAAAGCAGAACGCCTTAAAGGAGACTAACGTCGTCTATACCTTCGAATGCCCACTTGGGGACTGTAAGCCTCAAAGAACTCAGTATATAGGCAAGACAACATCTCTTTCCAGGCGATTAACAATGCATAAGCAACAGGGCTCCATTAAGAAACATATCTCTTCCCACAACCAGGCCATCACCAGAGAAGTCTTAACAAACAACACAGAAATCATCGATAGATACAGCGATAGCAGGCAGCTTGACATCTGTGAGGCACTACACATCAAGAAGTCAACACCAGCAATCAACAGCCAATTGATGCACAACTATATTCTACCCACTTCAAGACTCCGTACCAATATAGAAGCATCAAGAGGAAGTATGGGTCAATAGGCCCTTTGCAGTTACTTCCATTCTTCCCTCTCATTTATCCAATTTATACCCATTGTTCCGTGTTCTGCGTTGGTCAAAAGTTTGTTCACCTCTTCCAAAACTGTTGCAACACATCACCTCACCCAAATGCGAGTATATAAGACAAGCTGTTTAATGTTAGCATAAGTAAAACTGTTTAGTGTTCTCAGGTTACAGTTGTGTGTGTATAAACTAAAGTCTCTGAAAATGTAACAAGTTATTACGAAACGCGTTCAAGCCTCGCGTCAGACTAGAAATAAAAATGAATTTTGGAGAATTGATTTTTCAATTACCATCCACAGTAAAAAAGAAACATAAGAAATATTGAGAAAATTCGTGGTAGAATTATTAATCTTACCTTTTCGGTCATATTTAACAATATATACATTATATATAATATATATATATTACTCTTATTACAAATTCGGTACTTACCGCAGTTTGGATCTGGCAACCGAGGTCCCCGTGGTCCGGAACCCTCGGCCTCCACCAGCACTGTTGTGGACCAGCAGACGACATACAGGAGCAGCTCGCCAGCAACATTCCCACTCAAAATGCAGACGTCAAACAACAGCTCTGACCCACGGAGAGTGGATAAGATTGTTAGGTAAGTGAATGTAGGAGGGATATTGTAGTGCAAGATGTTATTATTGTGTAATGATGAGGATCTGTGTGTGTGGGGGGAAGGAAGTTAGTAGGTCATCATATGGACAATTCGTTCTTATACAGGCATGGGTTTTCTTGTCTCTGTGCAATGCTTTGGTGTGATGTTTAAAGAATTACTTGTCTGTACACCTATATGCGGGTGGGATTTAGGGTATTATAGTTCGGTATTTTTGCTGTAGGGGGTATAGGTCATTACGTATACAAGATGCTTAGTTAGCAGACTTAAAACGATAATGATTAATGATAAAACAACCTAATCCATATAACATAACCAAGTCTAACTTAGTAGTACATTTTTATCAGAAAACTAGCCTTGTTGAAATGATTTTTTACTCCCATTTTGTTTGGAGTTTGAAAAGAAATGGCGAGGGTTAAACAAAGCTCATTTATTTATTTATATACAAGAAGGTATATAAGATTTTTACTTAATTTTTAGTTTTGACAGATAAGACTATATTAAATCAGATACAAGTCATACCACATACACGATGACTCGCAAACAAATGTTAAAACCTATCTAACCTAGGGTTTCCGGGTTCGATCCCCGGTGAAGGCAGAGACAAATGGGCAAAATGTTTTTCATCCTGATGCCCCTGTTACCTAGCAGTAAATAGGTACCTGGGAGTTAGACAGTTGCTACGGGCTGCTTCCTGGTGGGGGTGTAACAAAAAAGGAGGCCTGATCGAGGACCGGGCCGCGGGGACGCTAAGCCCCGAAATCATCTCAAGATAACCTAGCTCAACCCAACCTAAACTAACCAAACCAAGAATCAACCTAACCCAAACCAATGGAGTCCAGTACAGCTTAACCTAAGCTAATACATCCTACCATAACAGTATAGTGTATACGGTTTTAACAAACGGGAAAACGAGCATCGTCGAATTATTTCATGTCCAAAAAGTACCATCCATAAAGTTTGATACGTTAGGATGTATTAGCCAAGATTAGGCTGTGTTAGGCTTGGTTGGTTTGAGTTAGCCTGGGTAAGGTTAGGTAAATTTTCCAATCCATTGGTGAACAGTCATGTGTACAGGGTGACACATTATTACAGACCGTTTTACTAGTGATAAAAAAGCAATGTAGGACTAACACAACTATTGGAAAACAACAGTTGTGTTATCAGTGTATAGTAGTAATTAATAATTTTGTACAAAGTTTGCATAAAAATGTTAGGTGTTTCAAGTAACTCACTAGGTTCTGGTAGACCTTTCATGACCCGTATAAAGGCCAGGCTGTGTGTGAAGAACTGTTAAAACCATCAACAGGTAATATACAGAAATGTTTATTGAACTAAATGCAGCTGGCCGAAGCAGCCATTGACATGAAACTGTTAGCGGCCAGTTTCATGTTAGTTACGTATTTATGGAAACTCTCCATCAGCGACCACATAACCATATTTTAAAATGCACTATTATCTTAATTTAAATATATTTTATTACAGTACTGTATCTGGTTTTCTTTACAAAGTACAGTATTTATATCATCCTACCCACAACAGTTGTTTAATTTCCGAGTACCTGTTTACTGCTAGGTGAACAGAAGAATTAGGTGAAAGGAAATGCGCCCAGCCATATCTGTCCTGACTGGGAATTGAACCCAGGATCCCCAATTGGGAGTCAAGGGGGAAGGCAACCGATTTTTACCTGACTTTACCTGAGGGCCACTAACGTATTAGTGGCCTCGACGAGAACAGAAAAGCTTGTCCAAAGTCCCCTCATTTGCCTTGATTATTTTTTCCAGTTGGATTTTAAAATGTAAGAGTTTGGGCAATTATGTTTGGCAGGTAGGCAGTTCCATGGGTTTATAACCGTATGGGGGTAAAAGGCATCTCTTGTTTTCAGTCCTATGTTGTGGTTTGTTGAGCTTTTATAAGACATTATCTGGATCAACATCCTCCAAATTGTTCAGTATTTTAAAATTTCAATGAGGTCTGCTAAGTCATGTCTGGTTTGAAGTGTTGTTAGTGCTGTGGCCCTCAACTGTTCCTGGTATGAGAGTTGATTACACTGTGATACCCTCAACTATAATAAATTCTGTTTTCAGACAACATACAGCCTCTTTGCTCAAACCCCTGGACATACTAAACATTTAATCCGTACTCTTCATTCTCTTCACATTATAAACACTTGCAAAGCTCTGTTCCTTAATACTAACTCAGATTTTAAACTTCCGAATTGTATGAAATAAGAATGTTTGTGATGTTCTGCATGAACATCACTGCTGAAATATCTCTAAGATTCTCTATGCAGGTCTCTATATAGAGAGACCAAATGTGTGGAATTTCCTAACCCAATGTCTTCACTTTAGTATCCCACATTGTGCTAATTACTCATCTAGTGCTGTACTATCTACAAATGCACTCCATCAACATAATTTCTCATCACCCTTATTACTACCTTACCTCTCGCTTAACAATTAGCTTAGCTTAGATGTCACGCTATTGTGATTTCTGTGTATAATGAAGTAAGGGCGAAGAGGTAGAACGGCCTATTGACATAGCTCGAGTGCATGGGGGGAGTTGTGTAAAATCCTGGTTTGTCTCTCGGAGAGGCTGCAGGATCCAAGTAAATTCAGAAGAATTTCTGGTTGCAATTCTTATACCATGTCGTAGCTCAGTCGATTAAGGCAGCGTCTGGGATGCTCTTGGACGCAAGTTCGAATCCTCGTCACGGCCCCTTGTAGATTTGTTCTCTTAAGATTAACTGTTTCCCTTGTACAATAATTTAAAATTCACTGCAAATTTTGCGTTAGCTTTAAGATTTGCCTAAAATGCTATGCATGTTAGTGGCTTTACAAGAATGTACAGATAATGGCGATTCATTTGTACAAATAACCCATTGTAGTGAATAATATTGTAGTGTCAGGGGGGGCCTAACGGCTGAGTGGACAACGCTCCGGATTTGTATTCCTAAGGTTCCGGGTTTGATCCCCAGTGGAGGTGGGAACAAATGGGCAGAGTTTCTTTCACCCTGATGCCCCTGTTACCTAGCAGTAAATAAGTACCTGAGAGTTAGACAGCTGCTACTGGCTGCTTCCTGGGGGGGTGTAACAAAAAGGAGGCCTGGTCGAGGATTGGGCCACGGGGACGCTAAGCCCCGAAATCGTCTCAAGATAACCTCAAAATACTGTAGTGTAGTGGTCAACACAGTCAGCTCGCAATTGAAACGTTCGGGATTGATTTCTGCCGCAGGACAGGGACGTTTGGCACGTTTGCTTTTGCCCGATGCCTGTGTTCACCTAGCGGTAAATAAGTACCTAGGAGTTGGGCAACTATTGTTGGTTGCATCTTGGGAAAGACTAGTAGTTGGCCTAGAGGGGACCTTGATAAACCTAACTGGCTTTGTCCCGATGGGAAATCATACTTAAGTATGATACAAGTAAAAAACTTTTCAAAATCTTTTCTGTGGAGAGCCTTGTAGGCTCCAGGGAGCCTCTGGGCTCACCCAGAAAATGGTGTTTCATTACATTCAGTGCTGTATTTTTTTTTCAAATAATGTTACTTTTGTGAGGGTTTGTGTACAGTAATTATTGAACTTCATTGTTGTTTGTATTTGTAATATGTTCTCTCATCTTCCCTCCTGATTTTCCATAACTAATCACTTCTTGCAAAGAGAATTATAAAACCTGTGTTTATTGAATTCATTTTATTTGCCTTCTCACTCATGCTTTAATGTTACTTATTTGATCAATAACACCTTACTGATACAGTAATAATAATACATTAATATTACATTTTTATACATACCAACTGCAATATAATGTAATTTGACCATTGACAGGTACAAACCATCAGCACAAGGGAGGGACTCCAGGGGCCCCTGGTGAAGATCCAACTACTGACTACATGAATGTACTAGGCATGATCTTCAGCATGTGTGGTCTAATGATGAGAGTAAGTTTTGGGTTTCTGGCATTATAGGGTCTGTTCTGAAGCCCACGGTATCATCTCTATTGTCTACCACTATCATCCCTATTCATCCTGGCACTAGCTTGCTCAGTTTTTTTTGTTTTCAACTCATATTTTATGAACTACTGTATATTGTATGTAAGTGATGTTGGCATTCATGGGAACATTTTCTGTGGGAGCCATGCTTTTTGTATTGTTTATATTCATGCTTCACTTGTCAGTTTAAGGCACCCATCTTGTGTGCCCTTAGCTGTTCATTCATTCTGATTTAGTTTCTCAACTCTCTGCCTTGTAGCTAGTTTGTATTACCCATTCCCACCAGTAATATTTTTCAAGATTCTGGGTGTTGTCCTAGTCAGGGCTTCTCCTTTTGAGTTGCCATTACATCAGTACTGCTTGGGACTCGGTCCACGTGGCCAGGCCTGTTGCTGGGTATTTTAGTGTGTTATGTCTGATTCTGACTCGTGTGCCATGTTGGTGCCTTGCATCATCTTCTGTGTGTACAGTTGGAGTCACACTAATAATACTTCAATACCTGTCACATAGGTCTGATCTTTCTAGTTTTTTAATTGATAGGAGGTTGGAGAACCGTCAACTCAACCCTTGTGACTAACATGGATGTCCATTATTCGGTAATTATTGTGCCGAAGATTGTAATTAAGTCAAAATACATTTTCACTTTACTGAAAAATTTATGGCATGAGCGTGAAGTGAGCCAAAAGTGTGACAAAGCAACAGCAGTCGGCTGAATGCTGGGCATGGGGGAAGAGGGAGGGAGGGTGTGAGACTATCCCTTCCTCATTTCCTCTCTCAAGCTTGGTGAAAAAGTTCTCTCCTTTTGAATGTTTGGTTTCAATAAAGTTGTGTGTGTACATCTATAATTTTAATACCAAATTATCCGTGATCAGTATCATATGCCATAATCAAGACGCATCATAAAAGAATTTTTTGCGAATAATTTATTAATAATAATAATTCATTGTGTTGGAGGACTGGCAGCCAGGTTATACATACAGTACATGTTAGGTTTGTATCCAGGTTCCCCCCCCCCTTTCCCCCCTATCCCTAGGGTCTAATTACTGACCCTCCCCAGTATGCAACCCCACAATAAGCTGACTGACTTTTGGGTACCTATTTCCTGCTAGGTGAACAGGTACATTAGGTGATAGGATACACACCCGCCATTTCTATCTTGCCTGGGATTTGAACCCAGAATTCTAGATTGCGAGTCAAGAACGAACTCGACTATACTACCGGTACCCTCAATTTACTGGGATTTATGTCAAGAATGGTTGAGTTTGTGTAAATCCTGGTCATTATGTTATGTTGGGACCACCAATAATTGTCATATACTGTAATTATGATTTTTAAATGGAATTGTTTGCCAATGATTGCTCTATCATATGCCATTGTCAAAATGATAAGTACATACTGTAATAGATCATGTTGGACCACAAATTTTAGATCCATTTGGCATAGGGTCTCCATTTTTGTGCAACTCTGGAGCTCTTCTCAGTGTTACCTTGAGGTGCTTCCTGGGCTTAGCGTCCCCGCGGCCCGGTCGTCGACCAGGCCTCCTGGTTGCCGGACTGACCAACCAGGCTGTTGGATGCGGCTGCTCGCAGCCTGACGTATGAGTCACAGCCTGGTTGATCAGGTGTAATTATGTTTAGAGCAGGGTTCTTCCCAGCTGGTTTCACCATTTGTGTTGTCTTCAAAGATTGCCTTGATAGCATTGCTCTAGTTGTTCGAGCTGCTGCTGTGGGATGTGGTTGCATATTTACACTATATGCGGCCTGTCGTGCTTTCCAGCGTGCAGTTCTAGATCATCAGGAATCTTCTTAGTTGTATTCCTTGCGGTTTGCCTCTCTTTTTACACCCTTTCTACTTTCTGGAGGGAAAGGGAAGGGAAGGGAATTATTAGGAGAAATCACTAAATCATTATAACTATATAGCATTTGAAGGGATCAATATAAGGATTTTTGGTGGGACATGGGGACGAAATTGTGCCCAACCACTTGGACAGTCGGGGATTGAAAACCGGCTTGCAAAAAAATGGGCCTTCGCTCTACTGTCTAGCCCAAGTGGTTGGGCGGGAAGGGAAGGTAGATCAATCTTTGATAGCTGGCAGTGCAGTATTTTAGCCTCAGTCTGCTTCAGTTGAGTTCTTCGGATCCAGCTTTGGGCCATGTGTAGATCCATATCTCCTGGTTCCTGGCTGGGGTAGGGGTTCTAGTGCATCGTTCGCTCTGGACAGTGCTCCTGTTCACCCTTCGTTTTTGAAGTGTTGACCTTTTAGGCAAGTTGATTGAAACCTCAGGTAACCTCAGGGCTGTCATCTGGTGGAAGATGGGTAAATCAAGGGCCTACCAGAAAAAGATGTTTAATTATACAGTATTCAATGCTTAATTTTCACATATATAGTACAGTACATGTTTTAAGTAAATAATATCAGACTTTATCTTGGATCATTTTCTTATTTAGGGTTTTAATCTTATAATACTTATATTGAGGAATGTGATTTCTACTCACTTTATGAATTTTAATCCTCCAAATACTGTATTATTAAAACTATGATTTTAGAAATTTTAGACATTGTTGTTATAAATGATACTCTATAGTGAACTCATTATTTCTTACTTGCAGTTGAAGTGGTGTGCTTGGGTTGCGCTATACTGCTCCTGCATCAGCTTTGCCAACTCGAGAGTCAATGACGATACGAAACAAATGCTCAGCAGCTTCATGTAAGGTTTATCTTGTTTTCTTCTGAAATTTGTATATTACTAAACCCATAAAGGTACAACCTGTCCTCATAGCATGTCACATTTTAACATATACTTTACTTTACACAAGGCCAAAACCTGGTGTACTAAGGCAAATAAACATTGCGACGGGGTAAATACCCTAACTGTGCAACCTGTCCTCTTACAAATTACGTCTGAATTTGGTCGTTTGCCCATATGGCCGAAAATGGACGTAATTTAAAAATAAAAAAATTAAAATAAATTTTGGATTTTGTTTCAAAACAGTAAGTTAAGGGTCCTCTCGTAGGTTAGGAGGGCAGGAAATTGTCCTCAAGTTTCAAAAGCTATGAAAAACGTTAAATGAAAGTTTCCTCTCCTAACCTTTCCAAGTAAGCCAGAGGACTTAGAGAAAACGCGACAGTATGTCACTTTCGTGAGCCAATTTCATTTCAAATTACGTTCATTTTTGGGTATAGCATGCATTCGAACGAAAAGCGACGTTATTTTCAAGAGGACAGGTTGAACCATGATGTGCCTGACCACCATCATATGGTGGATCAGGTCACCTAAAGTCCCAGCTAGCCTGCCATCCCCGCTCGTTGAGCCAAATGGAACCCCCAAATATTCTATAAGGAAGAGAACAGGACTGGGAGGTGAGCGATTGACTACATGCCTGAAAAGGGCATTTCATTACCTGGATCTGGATTTGTACCTGGATAAGGGGGTTCTGGGATTTCTTTTCTCCAAGCCTGGCCTGGGCCAGGCATGACGTGCAAGATCTTGGTCCAGTAGACTGTTGCTTGGAGTGGCCTGCAGGGCCATATTCCCACTTACAATCTAGTTAGTCCAGCACTTCTTGCAGGAAACTCTAATTTTTTCTTGAAGAAATACTTTTGTTCCAGCCATACTTATTTTATTTGCTGTGTGGATATTAAGGAGCCGTGGTCCTTTGATATTCATACAGTGTTCTATGATTGTTCCTGTGGCACCTTTATTCTTCACTTGCGCTATTCTGCATTTCCTACCATATTGTTCGCTCCACTACCTTACCTTACCTTGAGGTTACCTTGAGGTGCTTCCGGGGCTTAGCGTCCCCGCGGCCCGGTCGTCGACCAGGCCTCTTGGTTGCTGAACTGATCAACCAGGCTGTTGGACGCGGCTGCTCGCAGCCTGACGTATGAGTCACAGCCTGGTTGATCAGGTATCCTTTGGAGGTGCTTATCCAGTTCTCTCTTGAACACTGTGAGGGGTCGGCCAGTTATGCCCCTTATGTGTAACGGAAGCGTGTTGAACAGCCTCGGGCCTCTGATGTTGATAGAGTTCTCTCTCGGAGTACTTGTTGCACCTCCGCTTTTCAACGGGGGTATTCTGCACATCCTTCCATGTCTTCTGGTCTCATGTGATGTTATTTCTGTGTGCAGGTTTGGGACCAGCCCCTCTAATATTTTCCACGTGTAAATTATTATGTATCTCTCCCGCCTGCGCTCAAGGGAGTACAGATTTAGGCTCTTTAGTCGGTCCCAATAGTTTAGATGTTTTACTGAGTGGATTCTAGCAGTAAAGGATCTCTGCACACTCTCCAGGTCAGCAATTTTTCCAGCTTTGAAAGGGGCTGTCATTGTGCAGCAGTACTCCACTCTAGAGAGCACAAGCGTTTTGAAAAGTATCATCATCGGTATAGCATCTGTTATAATATTGTGCAAATTTTGGACCTGGATATTCATACAGTGTTCTATGACTGTTTCTGTGGCACATTTTTTTCTTCACTTGCGCTATTCTACATTTCCTACCATATTGTTCGCTCCACTATGTTATAATACTGTGCAAATTTTGGACCTGGAGTTCAGTCCATGTATACAGTACATGATACCTCTCTTGTCTCCTTTCCAGAGTACATTTTGGGAGCTTCAAATGGTCCCAATAATTTATGTACTTTATTGTGTTTGTGTGCTGAGTATGTCCTCTGTATTCCCTGTGTTTCAACAATCTCTCTTGCTCTGATTTGTTATTTTTGGGAGAGCCCTGTCAGTAGTTTTCTGAGCTTACTTGTCAGTCACTATAGCATTGACTTCATGATTTTCCTAAGGGTGACAACACTTGCATAATTGTCTTTTGTTATTGAATGTAATTTAAATTACATTAATCCAACCCATTGTTACTGGCTAATAGTTCTGATTTTCAAAGTAAATTATCATAATTAAACAAATATACTTTTATTTGCTTGTCACAAATAATTTACTAATTATATTAACATTTCAGGTTGTCCATTTCTGCAGTTGTGATGTCCTACCTTCAAAACCCACAGCCAATGACACCTCCATGGTCCAATATATAAACAGTTCTATATTATCGATTGTTTTTGGTTGAATGGAAATGTATAATTGCCTCACCATACTTGTATTAAAATTGTACTGCTGAATGACAGTGACAATTTTAGTTTTAATAAACTAGCTAATGGTGCCAGGTTTGTATTATGATGTGCAATATGGAACAGTGCCAACATTTGATGATGTGCATGAGTTACAAAATGGCTTGGTTTGTTAATCTTTTAATTTGTGTAGCCTGCACTATATAATTCTTGTGTTATACTTCCCATCCAAAAGTTTCTTGTAAGCAGCTTGTCTTTTTTTTCTTTAACAAATGGACAAATTTGTATTGTCCCATAACATTATCATGTCATTCATGCCAGTGTAAAAGGCAATAGCATGAAGGTCAAAGCTTGAAATATCCTGGAATATGAAGTACCATACGAGTTGATCCTCGAGTGACAACCACATTAGTACAGTAGATAGCCTCCATATTAGACATAAAAGGAAGACTTGATCACCACGTTAGAAATAGAAGAGTGAAAGGGAATTGGGAGTGGAATGGTAGGCAGTCAGTATGGGGGAAGGGAGACTTTTGGAGTACAGTACAGTACTGTCCATTCAGTAGAGCCAGGCTGTCACCTGATCGGATGACAGGCAAAGTTATCAGTCACTAGCACTGATTTTATAGTTTTCTTCGAGGTGACATCAACTGCATAATATCTTTTTGATCATGAAATTACATTAACTCCAACCAGTTACTGCTGGCTAATAATTCTTAGACATAAAGGAATGAGGACAAATCAGAAGAGCATGTTAAGATAGGGCTACCTGAATAGGTTTCAGTTGTGGTTACTCCATCAGAGGGGCGTTCATGGGGATAAAGACAGATTCTACAGTAAATTGTTAATTCCTCTTTTAGGACTGCCTCCTCTTCCATTTTGCTTAGTTATGCAAAGTTGTTGTTTTATGGTTACAAAGGAAACATATCATTCCTTAATTTCTTATTTTGACTATCAGAATTTAGAATTTCTAAAATATAGTTACAGGTTGTAAGTACAGTATGTAAAACAGTTTATACAGTACTATACTTAGTGTATAAAATATATATTAATGCAGGCCATATGTATTATTGTTAAATATGTACTTTTGTATTTCATAGTAAACCTTTTACCATAATATATAATTATCTTCTCCTTTCAATAGTGCATTTGTCATGTTGAATTATATGGTATATCGGGATTTTATCGGTACTACCTTGTTGACTGCGTGTTCCTCCCGTTACTATACTGTATACAGTATCTCTCCTTCCCATTACAGTATTACGCTGAGATGTATCAGTAAGGTGGTTGGGCTCACTGGCTCAAGCAAAGAATATTCACTATACAATACTATATTGAATATAAATTCAGTGGATTTTGTACTACATGGGAACCTGGTCCAAGATAGGGATTTTAATCTAGCCAGTGACCTGTACAATGAATTTGGCATCTAGATAATGCAGAATTCCTCCAAGACTGATAATTTTAAATTAATATTACTAAAAAAATCAAACAGTGCTTTTTCCATGGGATTTCTGCATCAAATTATGCACAAATGTATGTCCTATCATGTGCACAAATAAAGGGTGAATGCTGTGGATCTTGTTGTCCATTAAAATCTGTACAATAAAGCTTTCAGTCACATGTCATCCCTAAGGTGTGGCGTTGTTTACAATTTCCCATTTAGAATCCTTTCATTAGAAAGTATTTACACCACAGTATTGTATGTCGAACATAAAAAATATTAAATGTATAAAGATATTGTACACAATGTGATAAATCAATGATATAATCTCTAGAGCAGGACAGCACGATCGAACCGATGTTGTGGATAACCACAGATGTGCACCTTAACCCATGGACTAGGATGTGCAAAAAGTTACACGACCATCAGTTGTGAACGCCAGCTAGCGCACAAGTACATGAGCGCCCAAAATACTTTATTTATTTATATATATATACAAGAAGGTAAGCCCGTAAGTGGAAGATTTTTTTTTAGAGTGAATGTGATCTTTGTGGTCGTGAAAGGTCATACTCTGCGTGCTGTGCTCGCATTTAAATCGTCAGTCTGTGGCTGCTATCGCGGGGTGCTTGTTTGTGTTGCATCTGATCCTAAATAATCATAATTGAGTTTCTTAACGTTAATAGCCCAAATTAGCACAACTTGCTTTTAAATTAACCCAAAAAGTAGCAGGTAGTGAAATTAAAAATTTGGGAGCGCGGGGCTCACAAAAGTAGCCCAATTCGCTATTTGTAGCCCAATCTGGAAACACTGACTGGGGGTCTCGTACATGGAACGTGAAATGCGAGGCCTCAGCCTCCACGAATAAAATCTAGGTACAACACAAGAATATCTTCCAATATTCTTCAGTGTATGAAGCAGTTACAGAGCTCAAAGTTCCTCATACCGTCTGGTCTGAAATCATTGACTAACAGAGCAATCACAGATATATTGTTAGTATGTTTTAGCTCTTGTCCACATAGTTTACAATTTAAATGTTCACCATTACGGGATTTATTACCTGTCATAGATATCACAGCAATTATAATGCCTCACTGTCTAGTGGATGTATTATTAGTCGCCCTTCCCCCAAATAAGGCAACAACACGTCACTTTACTATTAACAAGACAAGAACCCGTATACACACTGTTGCCATAGTGCGATGCTACCAGCCACTCTGCAACTTGGTTGAATTATAGTAATATCTTACATAAATAGCCAAAATTTATTTGTATCTTATTGAATAACAAAATAATTGTTTATTAGAAACATGTAAAATGGATATATAAGACGGTTTTAAAAGAATAATATAGCAAAGGCCTTGAACACTTGAGTCCCGTTGAGGTGTGGCTACACTGCGCCACCTGAGCCTCCCGTGTGGTCCGTCACCACCTTGACGCCTGTACAGTGTTCCAGTCACCTGGGCTCGAGGAGACTCAAATTTGGAAGCCAGTACATTGCGTGCATTGCCAGGCAGCTTGTGTGCGTGCATTGCCAGGCAGCTAGTGTGCGTGCATTGCCAGGCAGCAAGTGTGCGTGCATTGCCAGGCAGCTAGTGTCAAGTCCTATATAACATCAGTAATGTTTGAAATGCTCATATATAGTTAATAATAAAGTAATTCTGACGATTTGGAGCTGGATGTGTCGTCTATATGTGCTATACATACAATAGGTGAAGAGGTAAGTCTCTTGCATACTTTGTATAATAATAACAAAAATTAATAAGAGGTAAGTAATATGCATATTATGTCTGGATAAAATATAGTAATAGCTATAAAGTCATTTATAACGAACGTTTTATCTATTTTTTTTATTTTGTTAACAAGCTTAGGAATACACAACATTGTGCTGTTACAATATTCTATATGAAAGATTACACAGTGTAGATAAAAAAAAACTAGCTATACGTTCATCTAATATCTCCATCTCCCAGGATGGTTAGTCATACATGGAATCAGGAGATAATATGATATGCCAGACTGATCTATCAGTCTACACTAGCAAAATCTGGGTACAGCACAAAAATATCTTCCAATATTTGTGAGTGTATGAAGTAGTTACAGAGCTCAAAGTACCTCATACCATTTGGTCTGAAATCACAGATAACAGGACAGTCACAGATATAGTGTTGGAGAGTATAGCGCAGTGTGTGTGTATGTAATGTAAATTTCATTTGCATTTTATATGAAGGTATATCTTGGAATTAAAATAGAGAATACAATATTATATGTTTGATATAATGAATTAGTAAAGTTGTTAAAAAAATGTTGAAAAGCTACCTAATTGCAACTCTACATCACCTTGCCTATGGTGTGGCACAGAGTCAATCAACATCAATGTTGACTGACCAATTGATCGGTTTATTTGCTACCACAGACATGACAATTCAATTACAGTCCCAACCAGAAGATACAGGTCATATCGTACATTAAATGATTCAACAGCATATTTGTTGTTACATTAAAATATAACATTACAGTATATTGTTTTAAACATTAGAAAATAAGCTATGTTTGAAGGCAAGTGGGAATTTTTTTTTATTTTTACCCTACTCTATAACCAACATATGTATAGGCCTATTATACATTTTTACCAGAGGGCAGGAAGCCGGCATCTTGTCATAGGCCCTCCCCTTCCCATTTACTATGATCTTATCAAACTGGATTTTAAAATTCAACAATGCTTTGGCATTTACAGCTTCAGCAGGAAGATGGTTCACTGGGTTTATAACCCCATGGATGAAAAAGCATCTCCTGTTTTGTCACACATTGTGGCTTGTTGAGCTTCAAACTATTGCTCTTAAACATGAACAGAGCTAAATAGCTGGTATAATAGCCTACAGATCTTTTTAATTTAAGTAGATTATTAAGAACCTCCACATCCATCTGGTGGGGAATCAGTGGTAAGATTACTGAGGGTTCAGGTACTGGACTCCAGTGATGTATAAAGTAAGTAAGATCTTGCATGTTGGGCATAACAATATACAACATGGCCATGCAGTAGGTTCATACGGACCTAGGAGATAAGATCTACCAGTCTTAAAGATGGTCAGCAAGTAGGAACTTGTAAAAAAAAAAGCAATAAAACCTTATGAATAATCAAGTAAACCTTTGACTTCAAGGAAAAAGAAGTGGTTAATAATTTGTTTTGTTGGGGACAGGAAGCCTGTGTATATATATGTCAAGCTTGTATCGAGGTTTCCCCCCCAAGATTGAACTATTGACCTTCTGCTGGACGCAACACCACGACAGTTTCTTAACTCCCGGGGTTTCTATTTACTGCTAGGTGGTTGTTGATTTAGTAGACAATGGGTAATTATACAATATGCCTATTACTGTACTATAGGCATGATGGGTAACTAAACATTATGCTTATTACTGTATTTACAGGCACGATGGGTAACTGGTCAGCTAAGACTGCTGACACAAATTCAACATCAACTGCATCAACAATTGTATACCAGCCACAGCAACCAAATGTTCCTGTATACCAGCCACAGCCACCCAGAACAAGCTCAGCTAGAGTGACAGCAGTATCATCACATGTAAATGCAACATCAACACCAACAGTTGTAGATATAGCACACCAAACAATCAAACACAGTGCAAATAACTATATAATTCCCAAATTACATCAGGATGACAGGCAACAGCCACAACACATTAATCCTCCTTCCCAGGTGCTACCAGACAGGTTTGCATTACGTGTTTGCCCTCAGTACAATAGTAAAAATGGTTGCAAAGCTAAAATTTGTAGAAGGTTGCACGTGTGTTTTTACTGGGTTATGAAGGGCTGTAAAAAGGTTAACTGTGAAAATGCTCATTCATTTACATCAACTCATAATAATGAGATTTTAAATGTTTTCTCAAAGAGAGATTTTGATATGTATATTATTGAAGTCCTACAGAATAATCACAAACGAAAGAAAAGGCTAAATAAGGAAAAAAATGACTGTATTTGCATATATGGCATCATGAATAAGTGCAACAAGAATCCTTGTTCCCAAGTTCATAGCAAGAAAACTTATCAGTGGGAGGTGAAAGATAATACTGGAAAGTGGCTACAGTTTTCATACGCACAAAGTGATCATTTAGAAAGTTTATTCTGGCATCCATCTAAAATTGAGGTTGAATTGCCTCCATTACCATCAGATATAAAAAATCATAAAGCATTTCAACAACTCAAATATCTTTTGGCAAAAGATCAGTCACAATGGAAAGTTAATATGGAATCAATGACGCTCTACACAGGCCATTTCATTTACAATATACGTAGACTGTCAACACCTTCAGATATCACATCTGACCTTCATTTGTCTTCTCGTTGGATTTGGTACTGGCAAGATGATGATGAATCGTGGAAACCTTACACAGATGGTTCTCAAAGGTATTTTATTGTAGCTCTCAGTGATCAGTTGGAATATCATCAGCACTTTGGTAATGGTACTTTCCATGTTAAAATTGGCAGCCATAACTATGACATTAATATTCTGAGTATGACACAAGTAAACAAAGACACAGGAAAGATACGAAAGATTCGGAGAAGACCAGTCTGTATGGTACAGGTATCTGAGAATAAGGTAACAACATTTAATGGAATGTTCTCAACCTTGCAAAGTGACAAGAGTTTCATGTTGCATGATGTATTATCTTCAACTGCAGAATTTATTTTTATAGAGAATATGTTAAAGGAATCTCTTTCAAGTGTTAAAATATCAAGCATAAAAAAAGTTCAGAATGACCATTTATGGAAAGCATACCAAAACAAAAAACAGCAGCTTTCAGCTTTTTATAGCAATGATTTATCACTGTTAAATGAGCAATATCTCTTCCATGGGACAAAACATTCAGTAATTGATGAAATTTGTTGTAATAATTTAGACTGGAGACTTTTTGGTAGTAATATTGGTAATATATTTGGCCAAGGAACATATTTTTCTGATAAAGCTAGTGTATCAGATAGCTACTGCGAGACAAATAATTCAGGATTAAAAGCACTCTTTGTAGTATATGTTTTGGTTGGCACAATGACAGTTGGAAATAAAAATATGGAGTTCCCTCCTGAAAATCCTGCAACGGGGAGATGTTTTGATACTACATGTAATGATAAGAATAACGCAGATATATTTGTGAAGTACAATAGAGATGAGTATTATCCAGCTTACATAGTGAAGTACAATGCCAAACATATTTTTTAAAATCGACCTTGATTGTCCAAGGAAACAAAGATATACAATCAAAAGGTAATTCAGAGATAAATCAAGCATTAAATGTAAGAAAATACATTTTCATGATGGGCCCTTGACATCTTCCTGAGCTAAGCACTGGACCTGCTAAAGCTTAGGGAGATGCACCAGGCCTCTGAGACCCACCTTTTCCTACTGAAAGCAAGGACCAGAATCTGGCTCTTTATGAGGTGATGTGAGCTTGGAGAATCAACCCAAAACTGAACAAAAAAGCTTCAGAAATCATAAGGGCAACAAAACAAGCATCTAATTGAAGAAAATTATGCATCCACAGGTACAAAAGTAAATGATTGTTGCTGCTGTTTAAATAAATAAATAAATATATAAATATATATATATAATATATATATATATAAATATATATATATAAATATATATATATATATATATATATATATATATATATATATATATATATATATATATATATATATATATATATATATATATATATATATATGTCGTACCTAGTAGCCAGAACGCACTTCTCAGCCTACTATGCAAGGCCCGATTTGCCTAATAAGCCAAGTTTTCCTGAATTAATATATTTTCTCTAATTTTTTTCTGATGAAATGATAAAGCTACCCATTTCATTATGTATGAGGTTTATTTTTTCTTATTGGAGTTAAAATTAACGTAGATATATGACCGAACCTAACCAACCCTACCTAACCTAACCTAACCTAACCTATCTTTATAGGTTAGGTTAGGTAAGGTAAACAAAAAAGTTAGGTTAGGTTAGGTTAGATAGGTTAGGTTGTCGAAAAACAACTAATTCATGAAAACTTGGCTTATTAGGCAAATCAGGCCTTGCATAGTAGGCTGAGAAGTGCGTTCTGGCTACTAGGTACGACATATATATATATATATATATATATATATAAATATATATATATATATATATATATATATATATATATATATATATATATATATATATATATATATATATATATAAATATATATATATCCAGCTTTCCTCCTGTTCCTCCTGTGGGGATCTAAACATTCCCTCTAATGCATTATGCGTGGTTTCCTCCGAGGCTATGGGTCCCCCTTCTTCCAGCTAGAGGTGGTACTCCCTTCCTATATTTGTTTTTTTTTATTTATATATATATATATATATATATATATATATATATATATATATATATATATATATATATATATATATATATAGATATATATGAAAGAGCAATTATTGATAAGCAATTTGGAGTCAAAATTATAAATATCACAATTATTTGCTTTGCACATATATTTTGATAATTAAGATTCAACATACTGTATTAGAGGTACTTTCGATGTAAAAATTAAAAAATAATTTTTAAAATTTTTTCATTTGACTATCAAGAATGGAAAACAAGTCTGGTTCTCAGTCAGAGCAAAATATAAAACTAGGGTATATGCAATGTGGGGAGGGAACATAAAGCATTTGTGAAGGAAAGAAAAATAACAAAGTAATGGCCCTGGCAGTACTGATGTTCCAGGGATAGCCAATACTTCTTAGCTCAAGTGTGTAGCAGAGGCTGGGCCTTGTCATACATACCATGCCTTCTGAAACTGACCATGTGAGCAAATGATGGGGGGCAGGCAGAGACATCCAAGTGACCTGGGCCGACACCTGGTGGTAGTCAGGTGCATCATAATTAGGATGTTTACATGGTGTGTATTTAATTTTCTTCAAGCAAATACTTGCCTTGTTGTGCATATGCTTTTTCGTGGATTTTTTTAGGTCTTTAGTTGATCTCTGTTTAGGAACCTTTTGCCTTGTAAAGACCACCACATTCTGGTCCTAGCGTTCAATAGACAAGGAGTAGATCACAAGAAATCTGATGTACTGTACCTTCCTAAGACTTGGCTGGACTAGAACTTAGCTTGGAAGCTACTGAGGGTGCCCCCACTCAGAAAATTGCATATTAGATGCAAGAAACCGATCATGATACTGTACAGTATTGCTTTCTACCACCTTATATGTTTATTACTCTGTTGAATACAAAATGTTTAGTATAAAGGAGTGCCTTTTCACCATATAATCACATTTTAAATTAAGTGCAAAACCTTTCAACTTGTAAAATTATTTATCCTGTCCTTAACCCTCACATTGCTCCAATCACTATCTGCAATTTCCTCCTGTGATCCAATTCTTTTATGCGATTGTTTCATACTTGATTTGTTAACTTTTTTAGTCATGCTCACCTCACTGTAGTGCATTTAAATGACATTATGTTTTTCTGTTAAACAACATTTAATTATTAAATGATTAAATCCACAAGAGCCGTGATGAGGGTTAGAACCTACGTCCAGGATGATCCCAGACGCGTCTTAGTCGATTCCCGGATGTAGGTTTGAACCCTCATCACGGCCCTTGCGGATTTGTTCATTTGATGTATCATGCTAATGTGATTTCTGTGTATATTTAATTATTAATTTAACTTTAACCTGAGAAGTTTATGGAAAGTAAAGCTGCAAGCAAGTGAGAATGAAGAATAAAATGTAGTATAAGAATAAGATTGAGAAACTGTAAGGAGTACTGCCCTAAAATGAATGAAGAATGGTAGAGAAAAAGTATTACAGTAATTTCTTGTGTTACAGTTCATGCTGCTTGTTTTTGGAAATTCAAGTTTGAAAAATTGATGATGGCTGGTAGAATCACAGAAGTGCAAATTATCATTGTTTGTAGTATTAATTTAGAGAATGCAAAGTTGTAGAAAAATTGTGATGAATGATGTGGAAGGTAAAGTAGGAATAAATGTCACAAAATGAGCTCTGACATGAGAGGTTAATGCAAGACTCCAAACAGCGTTAAGAATAAAATACACTTACAAACTGATTATATATACAAAATTATATATACTTGCAAGCACAATCTAACATTTTGTGCCCTGATAGCAAGGCAGTGGTGTATGTCAAAGTCTTTTGTGAGCAGAATTGGAGGGCAGCCAGTGCAGTTTAAAGACAGTCTTGGTATGGGGACAACTCTGAAAGGTCATAACATGAGACACAAGAGCCAGGCAAGAAACCATGACTTCAAGAAACCAGTATGAATTTAAATTAGTAGTAGTCACAGTAAGGACAACTGTGTGGAGGTCCTTATATACCCGCTGTGCTGTGCCTAACGACACCATCTTCAATGATGGTCACATAATTGACTAAGAGTCGTGAAGCTGTTCACTGATGTTGGACAAGCAAGTGGTCAATTAAAGTGCACTTGACTTATGTTAAAAACTCAACACCATTGCAAGTACATGGTGTAGAGTAGCATAAATTCTCTTAAAAAGTTATTTTATTGCATTCTGTTGAATGCTTGCAGGGAACTTATTGCTTACAGATATGAGTGAAGAATCGTTCTCTGATGCCATATTCTTTTGTATAACATGTAACAGAATGAACTGTGATTCTATTATTGTGCATTGTGGTTCCATTGACTAACCATTGTTTTGTAGCGATTTGTGTGACCACCTAATGTGGTCCCTGTTGCTTATAATGTAATAAGCTATGTCATTGTACAGAGGCCTTGCAGGAAGTATTGTGGTCATCTGACTAATGAAGTTGAAATTCCCCTTTGGTTTATGTATTTCCTTAAAAGGTTTTAAGTTTCTGAATAAATGTAAGATGAACATGTTGTTCTTTCTCCTGAAGCAATCTTGCACTGACAGCAGTGGTCAGGGAAAGCACAGCCAACCAAAAACTATAACGTATTGTGTGACACGCACGAACCTGTGCCTAGCAACAGCCCTTCCTCAAACAATGGCTAAATTCTCATTAACCCAGCTGCCACTTTCATTTATGAATGAAAAATACTACACATGACTAACTAATAACTTTCAAACTTTTTTGAGCAGTACTTCACTCCATTCATATGGACTGTATGGGTCTCTTAACCATATTACCCCACACGTGTGAGGCCGACACTATCGATTGGGCTATGTCAGTGCTTCACCTTTGTCTTCTGTTTGAATTGCAAAATGAAAAAACAACAATAGGAAACAGCTACCCAAAACCCCTATCTTAACTTATCCTATGCCTAACTATTGCATACACAATTCTAATAAACAAAAATATAAAATAATATTTGCAAAAAGTATAGCTTTGGTTAAACAGTACTAATGTACAGTACATTAAAAATTTAATGTCTTTGGGGTCAGCCACAGCTTTGACAAGCATAGCATGAGGATCCAAGAATCAAAGTTACCATAGTATCGGTAAACGTAACACTTCCCCCCTTCCATCACCTGGAGTGAACTGAGTATGTGACTTTCAAACCTAGGTGACCTTGGCTAGATGTAATGCTATATTTTTGTGGTAGCTTAAATATATAGGTAAGATGCAATTGTCAAAGAATTAAAGACAGTTTTGTTACATTAGGCAGCTTTTACACTAACCTTAAAGGAGTAAAATGGAATTTATTAGGATTGGTAGTTCACAGTCATTGACGGAAAATAAAATTATTAGTGTAAGACTCGGTAGGCTATGTGCAGGTCTAGAAAAGCTTGCAACCTCTTGCAATTTTTAAAGATGAGCAAGTGTTACTAATTACAGTAGAATCACAGTACATACTCAGTACTAGGTATCAGTTGGCAGGGGGGGGGGGCACAAATCAGGCAGGAGAGCTGGGATGACAAGCACTAAGTTTAACCCATTCTAAGGTGTCGGGCGCACTCTAGAAAAACAAGAGTGCAATTTTATTATGTACCAGAGGTAACTGGCAACAACCTTAGCTCTGTGCTTATCAAGATATTGACAGCCAGCAGAAATGTTCAAGCTGCAGCGAGACTCGACTGCTGCACAACGAAACGGCAAGAGAACAGTTATGCAGTAATGTACTGTATTAGTCATTGGAAACGAGGATACTTGTGCAAGCCCTTGCCATGATCTGTATGCTAACTCAGTGAGAGAGCTCATGGATACTAGTTACTGAACTACACTTTATGGAACACGCATAATTCCCTGAATATGCCTTTATTATTGTACTGATTACCATAGCAGTAAGAAAATGGTAGGTAGAAATTTGTAGAATCCATTTGGCATGAAGTTAAGGCTTCACCTATGTCTGACAAGCAGCAACTTCCTTTATTGCTGACAACTTTGAAGATTACCAACTAACCAGTGGGACCCAGGTGTTGCACTACCATATTTTAGCACTGGATGTAAGGGACTATGGAAATGAGGAGCTGAGGGATGATAATGATGTCTGATGATTTTAGAATGCAGTCCTGAAAGCCTGAGAGATTACAACTCTAATGTATCCAAAATGCTTGTGGAGATGTCAGCAAGTCTTGCTCTGTCTGGTGAATGCAGGAAGTCACTCACAATAGAGGGTAGATATATGTGTGATATAGCACGCTGCAAGTTTAAGTCCTGGCTGGCTACACATCTATAAATAATACAAGACATACACAACCAGCTGAAGGCAGCAATCATAAAGACCAACCATCTGAAGTCTGCCTTGAGCATTTGACTTCATCATTGCAAGGAAGTACTAAGCATTTCAAAGTAATGTATTAACTAACACTAGTAATTCTCCAAGCATGACAAAAACAAAGCCAATACTGTATAGCTTTGGTCCTGCTACTTCCCTGGCAGGCAGTGTCACAAGTTTGACTCCCAAAAACTAAAGATCCTGCAAAAAGAGCTTTATAGGCTTGAACAAAGGATTCAAGCCCCACCACTGTATCAAGGTAGCTGCCACTGAGGGAACATGAGCAAAAAAAAAAAAATTACTTGAAATACTGTGGGGGGGGGGGGCTTTCCTTTAAATCTGACTTAAACTGTCTTTCATGAAAAACTCTTTTCTCCACTTCATGTTTTGTCATGGACAGTCTTTTCACTCACTGTTGCCATCATCCCCATTTACTTTTGAGTCAACCCTGTAAATACAGAAAAGTAAGTTACCTTATCAAATCTAAAACATGAAATTTCAAATACTGTACATTAGGGCCCAATTAAAATGTTTTCCTGCCTTCCACATTAGTCCAGGTAATCCTTAATATTTTTATGTGAAATACCTTATACAGTATAGGCAATTAATGACCAACAATACGTAGTGTTATTTCTTACATACATTAACTAAGCATTCTCTAGGTTAAAAAAAAAAATAGTTCATAGGTACAGTGATACGCCTTTCAAACATACTAAATGACTAAAATTTGTATGCAGTACTGTATATCATTGAATAGCAAAATTCTTATTTTAAAAACTTAAATTTACTTCTCAATTTTCTAGCATTAATTTCAGTGGCCAATTTACTTCCACCAAGGAACCAATTGCCCCACCTTATCATTGCAGTTTGCAGGAACAAAGTACTATCAGTTAAGAGACGGTACAAAGATAATTTACCAGTAGGAATACTATATAAACGATTGTAAAATCCCAGGCCCTCCCTCTGTGAAGTAAATGAAGGTGCACTTTAAACATAAGAAATCTGAATACTGGAAACTTTATTCTGGTTCACACTTATAATAAATGACGATGATGTACAGAAAGGCTAACATTACACTTTTTTTAAACATTTTTTCCACAATAGTTTTCTAAATATGTGAACTTAGCAGGAAAACCAGTTATTAAAAATATAACACTAGAGCTGATTAACTGCATTAGATACTAATACTAACCTATGATGCTACCTTCATTTAAAAAAAAAAAATTCTTCAGTGACTGCCATTAAAGTACCAGTACGAATAAAGTCAGAAGACTTGATACACCAGTTGTCTTTGCTATTGCAGTCTCACCACAGTAGTACACACATCACTCATACTGAATATAGCCAGTATTTTGTAGCAAATATCTTCCATAGATCTGAAAACATTGCCCCCCAAAAAATAATAGAGAGAGACAGATAAGAGGCTATCACCGTTAAACTTGGTAGTTGGCAGTAAAGCAAAACATCCACTTGCCATATTCAGTTTTAACATTTTTAACCATGTGGCCCCAAGAAAATAAATCATCAGTAATAACCAGGCCTTCTGAGTTTTCAATTTATACATAAACTGCAACAAAAATCATGTGAATTTTGGGTCACCTACTCCCCCCCCCTCATCTTTAGTGTGATAACAATACTTCTTGGCCAGGGTGTACAAAAAGTGATGTGTGGAAATTGAGAGCTCTGACTTTAGTCATTTTCAATATATCTGCAAACAGTAATAATTATTGACAATATATGCAATATGTTAAGCTTAAAAACAAAGTGAAAATTTAATTCTCGGGCATAGGCATTTAAAGTCATGAAGAGAGCAAAAAATAGAGAGAACAAAGACATGAGAATACATCTCTCTATTTTTCAATAAAGGCAAGAAAAATCAAGAAAATTTATAAAACTACACTTTACTTTGCAATCTTATAAAAAGTAAATATTACAAGGTTTACATTTTCAAATACTCTACATGTCATCAACGGCCATGGTATAGCAGCGAACACCTTTTCCTATGCTTCCCCACCCCCCCTCCCCTTTAAAAAAAAATTAAGCTTGCTTGCATTTACATAAAAAATATATAATATGAAGCCTAAATGTTCATATAATGAAAGGAAATCCAATTAAACCTGCTTCGATCAATATATAAAAATATACAATACAACAAAAGCGAAATGTTTAAGTAATGGATAGCAACCAAATAAATCTGTATATATATAAACAAATGAAAATGTCTTCCTAAAGAAATGTTTGAAATGAAGTAGCAAATATGACCAAGAATGAACGAACTTTTACTTTTGACATTGTTTCCCTTTTAACTAAATATAAAGACATACAATACGTTCTCACTAACATCCACTAAACTTTAAAAAGTTTGTTGCAGGACTATAAAAACTAGGTCACAATAAATTTGTGACTCAAAAGCTTCTGATTTAGCACTGTCCATTCAGTCTGCCTCATGATTCCCTTCTTCCTCATCATTGGTGGAGGAGTGCCAAGTGAGTCGTTCTTCGTAGAACTTAATAACAACTTGCGGGCATCGAACATTTGCCTGCCTAGCAGGGACCAAATCTGCTTCATCAGTTCCTCTCCTGAAAAGTATACACACTTTATTTAGGATGTTATTAAAATGCATTGCATATATACACTCGCTGTCATACTATTCCACATTCCCATGTTTTATTCACAACATCCTAAGTTTAAAGGAAACATATGCACCATAGTTCCTAGCAACTGATAGGTTCTGGGTTCGCTTCTCATTCAGTACAAGACGTTTGTCTGTTTCTTTATAGCCAATGACACCTGTTCACCTAGCAGTAATTGGATACCTGGAAGATTGGCAACAATTGTGGGTTGCATCCGGATGAAGGTCAGTTGTTGGCCTATGGGACCTCAATAAACATAACAGGCTTTGTCTCCAAAGTGAAACTTTAGCTGTAGGCACTAACCCTTGGCTATCATAAAAGGTGCCATTCTGCCAGTGTATGTATGTATGTATATGTATGTGTGTATATATATATATATAGATTACAAATTACAGAACTGAACATAAAAAAATTGGCACTTTAAAAAATCAAGTACTAACCATTTCATAAGAAACATTAGTTCTCCACTGGAATCTGTTGCACCAATGATTCTTTCTGCTTCAAGCCCTCTATCAAATCCTCGTGGGCGACTATCCTCCTGCAAAACATTTACCGACATGAGAAACATACACCAGATGTGTCTCAAAACACTCCAACGATGCTAGTGCACACAGCATTTGCCTTACAGATGTTTTAAACATCTCTATAAACAGGAAGATCTGAGTAAATATTGGCTAAATAAATAAATAAATTTTCATAATCAATATTTAAATTATGAAAAGTTTTCCAAGCCAATTTATGGAAATTTATTACTAGGAATGTATTACTATGTAACATAATACAGTAGATGTGGGTTCACTAGATTGCTTTCTGTACAGGTTAGGCACAGTAAAAATGAATGAGTTTGGGCAGATATAAGTAGGAGCAGTCTCTTATGGGCCAATATACCTGAAGTTTGTTTTGTCATTTATGTAAATTAAAGTTTTTTCAGAGTATATATATATAAAAAAAAAAAAAAAAAAAAAAAAAAGTTGAGATTAGTGGACTTTTGGAGGTCCCTGGAACCTAACTCCTATTTTTCATACACATCTTAGAAGCTTGATTTGTGTTACCTATTTTTATGTTATTTGTAGGAATGTTATCCCCCATCTCATATCAAAGTCTGCCTTTTTCAACGATTTAACTGTTTAAATTAAATTTTAACTGTGCCCAACCACTTGGGCTGGACGGTAGAGTGAGTCTCGCTTCATGCAGGTCAGCTTTCAATCCCCAACTATACAAGGTGTTGGGAACCATTCCTCTGGTCCCCATGGCGCAGCGGTAAAGCGCTGTGGCCTTGGTTCGTATCCTGGCAGGGAAGGATTGACTGGGTGCCAGTCCTTAACTGTAGTCTCTGTTCACCCAGTAGCAAATGGATACCCGGGTGTTAAACGATTTAGCAGGTCGTACGTATTCCGGGGAAAAATTAGGATTAAGGACCTGCCTGAAACACTATGCGTGCTAGTGGTTTTACAAGAATGTTAAAAACTCTTGTATAAATATATAAAATAAATAAATAAAATAAATAAATAAGTTCCTTTCCCCCATCCCATCTCAAATCCTTATCCTGATCCCTTCCAAGTGCTATATAGTCATAAGGGCTTGGCCATTTCCCCTGACAATTCCCGTCCCCTTCCCTTTTAAGTCTATATGGATAAAACACAAACAAAACTACAAATGGATATAGAATTATTCTTGTGCCAAGATTCTGTAAATGTACTGACGAATATATCCACTAAGCAACATACAGAACAGTATATCAACCTTGAAAGAAATAAGCCTCTGAGAATACCTGAAGACACCATTAAAGTAGTAGCATTTACTGTTAATGTGCATGTTGTCTAAGGATAAACAAATCCTCAGCGGATAAATTGTCTAAGCCACAACACAAGAGGTTGATATTTCACTAATACATACCTCTACAGCTTTTTTTGTTTTCTTTTTAGATGCATCATCCACAGCTGGAGTTTTTCTTTTTTTCTCTTCCTTCTTTTTGGCATCATCTTTCTTCCGTCGTTCTTCAAATTCCGAGATCAGTTCGGGGCAGTCTAGGTGAGATTCAGGTTCCCATGTGTTGTCTTCACTGTAAGGAATTTGTTTAATTTTTTATATTTTTAAGATGCAAGTATTTAAATACAGTAATGTAATCTTATATTTAATAGATCAATATCAAATCATTTCGTTTTCCAGTTTCATGGGATCACAAAGGCAGCCATCACAGAAAAGCTAATATCAAGTAAAAATTCATTCTTGATTTTCAAGCTAATGCCACACCAGTGCCTCAGTACTTAAGGGCAAATTACTACAAATCACCACTTACCTTTTACCTGATGCCTCAGTTTATCTAGCAATAAGTAGGTACCTGAGAATTTGGCCAATATTTTCAGGTTGTATCCTAAATTTGGGTTGGTCAGTAACTGGCTAGGTTCACACATTTTTTCTAATATTCTTACTATGACTTACCAAATCAAAGGGCAAATATGAGATATCAATATGTGTTGTATATTATATGTATATATATCAATATGTCGTATATTATTATTATTTTATATTTGAGGAAATTCCTGTTTTGAATGAACAGCATGCTAAAAATTGATGAATGCGGCGTTGAGGCACACCGCTGGATGGAATGGACTTGGTCTGAGGACGGATTGAGTTTAAAATATGCTCAATGGTTTTCCAGGGCCCCAACTCTCTTATATTGCATTCATTTACAAAAATCATTAAAAATGTAATTGGAGCCATAATAAATGTGTTACCATTTGTACCCCAAATATTTCCCATGCTGGGCTAATTTCACCGATAAATTTTAATTTCACTATCATATGATAAGACAACTTTTCAACAGGTCTGTGAACTCTGGCCTTGCTTCCTAAGCTAATCAGTACATCCCTTCCTTTGCCAAATCTCCAAACACTTACTTGTCAAAATCATAGAAACAGATGTGAATGTGATGTGATGACAATTTTGGGTGCTGCCATGGTACAATTCTAATGCAGACAGATAATGATATTTACAAGGTCAAAGCCAGAGGACTTCGTCGAACATTAAATGATTTCTTAAAAATACTTCTAAGCACCAAAACTGAGGTTGATTATGGTAACTACACATTTGTATTGGGGGAACTGCAAGTGACTTTAGCAGCAAAAAGGTTTTATCTATTGCTCTTATTTTCTTTTAATTTATAGCTTTTATAAGAAAAAACTCCAAAAAATCAAGAGCAACCAATACTGGGAATATTTTTCAGCAGGGCACTATTTTTTTTTTTGTAAAACTGCCTATTTGATTTAAAGATATTTCTAAAAAATTCCAAGATTAAAAATTTACATACTATAATGGCACTGTCTAAACATGGACCTCCATATAATGAATCTTCAAACCAATGAATGAAATACAACAACCAATTGTTCCTTCTGAAATTCAATTTCTAAAAAAACGCACAATCATATGACATTGAAGACGGAATATCACGAACATAGCTCTTGTCTTGTAACTTCACTTAGGTAATTACATTTGTATGGTACTTACTCTCCATATCCTTTCCATTTTAGGTAATATTCAACACGGCCATTGCGTACACGCTTATCTAAAATCTTCTCAACTGAATACTCTTCCTCCTCCTCTTGATCATCAGGGTCAGAAGTATGATCCTTCTTCTTTGGCATGGTGTTTGATTCCCCTAAGAAAAAAATATATAAATGAAAGATAATTCCGAATAATGACAAGATATTACAAAATATGAATCACACTGCTAAGGGGATCAAAATTACATTAATACCTAGGATGCTCCTATACATAATAAAAACAATGATGAAAATAATGCTATATCAGGTTTTGTGAGTGATGGTGTAATTATGTCGATGTTCCTTAGTTTATCATTTTACCCATGACAATAATTAAATTAATCCTCTCCCAATTGTGGAGTGAAAAAAAGTCAGCACCAAGGTTGGATTTATTGCTACGAGTTATCTCTATAAAGCTCTTTTTTTTTTCTCAATGAAACTTGTAAGTTGTCATCTTGGTGCCTTCTCAAAAACCTAAGTGATGTAAAAATGATAAAGCGACCCATCAATTTTTTGGCCTATTCTTTACTATCTCATTTCTGTAGTAATATCTACAGCTTAAGTCAGTGCAGGATGTCCCCCCCGTCTGAAGTTTTTTCTGGATAAAATGCAGTGCCAATGGGGTTTGCAGAATGGATAGGACAAAGAAAGTGGGGAAGTTTATTGGATAATGGTAATTAGGGATTGTGGTTATGACCGTACTACAGAATTTACATAAGTACTGTAATTATCAAAATAAGGCACCAAGCCAGGAAGACACTGTAGCACCATCTGAGTTGCAAGATGTTTTATAGGCACTAAATCACTCAAACTGCCAATAAGAACAAAACGACATAAGACATGCGATATCAAAAGTATCGAGGGGTAAATGATCCCTACGGACACTAGGAAAGGATAACATACAGGGTACTATCATCCCAAAAACTGGGACATTCTACAAAGATGTGCAAAGCTGTAGTTTATGTAATTCAGACAAGAGTAGCAGAACAATGTTCCATTAATTCCAACTGCACATCACAATCTGGGATGTATCATACCACGTACGATTTAGAACTTCCACAGGTACACGGGGCTCACATACAATTACTTCCTCAGGCCTCCAGTAAATAGATGCTATCTTTGGGAAAAAAAATTATGGACGCCCCATAATTTCAGGAGGCCTGGTCAGAGACCAGGAAACGGGGACATTGATTCTCGAAAACCAACATAAGGGAAGGTATAACTCTTCTGGGTGTAAATACCCAGTACTAAGTACTCAGTGCCAAGACAACCATGAAGCTTGTGCCCACAGCATCACTTCCTGATGAAATAAATAACTGAACTTATTTATAAATGACAATGACAAACAAGACCCCTAACAGTGATAAAGACTATGTACAGGATTCAGATATCGGTAAACTTGATGCCGGTGAGGATGTTCACGGCACAAGAGAGCATGTGCCATAGCACACAGCCAGGGTATGGTGCCTTTATGCATCAATGCTATGTGAAAAAGTTTCTTTATAAAATGAATCTTACAGTTTTTCTTTCAGTAATGAAGGAAAGAAACAGTAATGGTGGAAACATAGGATCTCCAACTCTCACATTTAGCTGTGTGAATGTCCTTACTGCACTCTCATTCCAAAACAATAAAAAAAAAGTTAGAAGTATTCTGGCAGCAGTGCCTCTTCTAGTCCAACCACAGTATACAGCCCAAACACAATCCAAATTTCACCAAGGAACACACTTCCATGTGCCATGAGAGGCATAGCAAGGAACAGGCTGGACTGCAGCATCTATTAATGTGCCATGAAAAAGAAAGAGGAAGCACAGGAAAGAGAGACATCAGATAGGCAGGGAAGAGCAGTATTGAGAGTGAAATGATTCCAATCAGCATTATCAAACTGTCACCAAAGGGGAGAGAGAAGAGGTTGAGAGGGGGGGGGATGCAAAAAGAGGATTGGAAAATAGTCACTGTTGAGGTGTCATCAAGGACTCCCCATACCAAGTCTATATAAATGGAAGAGGAGCAAAGAGAAAGATCTATGCAAGAAAGACCCAGCACTGAATATAATTAAACACCTCTTTCTGGTAGAGCCCCAGAGGCTCCCTGTAGCTATCTCACTGAGATTGCTCCAACCTACCAGTGCACAAGTTCCTCTTGCCTACCAGGGACCAGAACCAACACCTGGCCCATCACATGAGGTGCAGATAGCAAATGACATCCTGCCATTTCACCAAAAGCATCCAGAATATCTGTGAAGCTTTACAGACAACTGTTGGGCTCATAATATTCAAAAACCTTTAAACTGCTAAATAACTCTCCAAACTATACAAAATAAACAAAGAAAAAACAAAACCAACTAGAACCTGTTACTAGTACTAAACTAACTAGTACTAAATGTCACCACCAGGCAGTCCAGAACTCGGTCCAGGACAAGATAAACAACCCAACAAACTGACAAACAAGGATGAGAGAGAGGGAGATGAGGAGTCACTTGATACCTGCTTGGTATCAAGCAGGTATCAAGTGTTTGATACTGTAGAGTAGCATCTCTACAGTACTCTACTCTCTAGTAGAGCCCAATTCACTTGGGCTCTACTAAAGAAGCATTTCATTACACTGAATGCTGGGTTTCTGGGAGAACTTCATGGTGGCACCCAGTAGCTAAATAAACACAGAAAATTAAAGTGACGTACCATATAGGAGAAGCAGCAGGCATTAAGTCGAAGTAGAGGCCAACAGCTGGAGAAAACAACCCAGGGCAACACAGGACCAAACAGGACAAGTGACACTGACTAAATATCTGGTTGCCATGACCCTGTTAGTCCATCAAAACCCCCGAGCCCGTATATCTTCCCAAAACACATTAGAGAAGACCGCCACAAGTGCAGCATATCTGCAAGCATCATGGACCAGGGGATAGACTGCAAGCTGGTTAACCTTGATAACACTGCAGACAAATCTGAGAGATATAAGCTTTGGTATGGGACCAAGGATCAACCTAAAGAGTATCTACCGAAGCTGAGGCGGTGGCATGCAGATACAGTAGTGAGAAATCGCTGCCCCCCAGACACAATAAATGATGCACCCCTGGTCAATTCAACTATCATCAATAACCAATGAACCCCCTCCAGAAGCCTATCAACTCAATTCTTTACCAGAAAAGGAGAATTTCAAATTAAGTCTGGAGAAGAGCATGGAGCTCACCAACCCAATAACCGGAGAGGAGAGAAAAACAAAATGCTCATGAGAACTTGCAAAATGGAACCTTGGAAGAAATGACATTAGAAGCCAACAAAAATGGCTCCACTAACCCTGCATAAGAGGTGACAGTAATAGGCACAAGATGCCGATCAAGAAACAACCACGAAAGAAAAGATAATACCAAATTAATCAAAATTGCAGCTGGTAACCAGCAAGGTACGTCACTGGATCAATTCTCTGAAAAGAGGCGGAGCCATAGAAAAATGTCTGAACCCATGCAACGAGCTACAAGTCAGAAACCATGGCTGAGCCAGCCACCGAAGGAACCAGAAGGATCACCCCTCACTGAGGACTCTAGGCTGGTAAGAACCAAGAGCAACCACTGAACTGGGGGATTGAGGTAGGTGCACCCCCCCACCCCATCTTGACTAGTTTGGACACATGTACTGTACAATGGTCCACATAGTTACAAAAAATACTATCTGAATGGGAGGACGGGTTGATTATATTGATTGTAGTAAAAAAAAAAAAAAACTTTTTTTTTTTTCAATTTATTTGATGTGCCTTATCATAGCATCAACTTATTTGAATCTTTGTGTGAATCGGATTGGAACTGCCCCATATGATTTGAACTGGCAAGTGTAGATAGCACTTCCATTGCTCAATATGACTGTTCCCAGGTTGAAGAGATTGGCAAAATTAGAATAAGGGCAAGGCTCAATACCACTAAGTAGACAGCCTATAATTATTAATAATAAAGACTCAAACCTGCAAAATTTACACTAGACTCGGGCATAATATAGGAAAATGGAAGGATTTTGTATAATAAAAAAATTAAAGATACTGTAACTGCTTTCCTGGAAAAGATTGGCCATATTACAATAACAAGAAGGCTCCCTTTAACATGCTTTGAGTGACCAAAGAGCAACCTTCTCCAGTTATGATTGACTGTTGTAATGTCATAAGTGACATGACTGATTGTGAAGGTCATTAATGTTACACATTCTCATAATCTGAATAATTTCAAAATCATGCTACAAACATTTACAATTACAAGAGCACAAGCATAGCAAAATTGAACAACATGCCATTCTAAAATCACGAACATGCTTTGGTTATACATTTGTATATAGATAGAATCTTACCTAACGTTAAACTACCAGCTTAGTAAACTTTGTACATAACATTCCTGTAAATTAATTAAAAGGGTGTGTTCAAAGAATGGCCTAGTGCCAAACACGTGTGCTAATCATGCAGTATATGTACAAGTATATTACTTTATAGGATTAAGAGTTCCCCTTCACATTTTAGAAGTAAATGCACATTTATATTAGGGGAGGCTATGTTTGGTTGAGCAGTGGTGTTTTCAGTTAAATAAAAATCCTACAAAATGTCAGCACTGCAGTTTTAGTTAAAGTGCAGAATGAGATTATGTTACATTATTCTGAAGCAATGCAGTACTTCATTATCATGTATTTAACACGCAGAACTACACATGGACCTGTGTTCAAATAGCACGGCAACATCAGCATTCAAGTCCGTATCAAAATGTCACTGGATTTATTTTAATATTAGACTAAAGTGGAACTACTATAGATGTCTTAAGAACAATTGTAGCAAAGCAATGAAGTTGTATATAATTAATTGTACAGTACAGTAGTTAAATCAATACCATTTGGTTGGTTATTATACAACCAAATGGTAAATTTTGCAATGGTAAATGGTACTGTTGTTGTTCTAAGCTTTGACCAACTTTATTGGGAGCAGCAAATTACACATGCCAAGTTATATAAAGTTCATATACAATAATTTTAATAAGATGGCAGTACAACATGTTTATTAAAAAAGTTATCCCAAAAGTACAAGCACAGGGCTGTAAAAAAACAAATGACACCTTTGTTGAAACATGATTTCATTAAAAAGATGAGTAATGACCGACTCCTTGAGTTGAAGGCCTTTTAAAAATTCAAAGTCTAAATTCAAGTAAAAAAATTCAAGAAAGTGACCAAGTTGAGGAAGGAAATGTACAAGTCAAAGAGTACACCGTATATCATTTACCACCTACTAGACTGCAGGTAATAAAAAAATAAAGCAGAATAATGTAAGAAAAATTTTACAGTACAGAAAAAACATTACACTTTGTTTTTATGATAGGCCTAGGCCAATCATAAATGCTTCCATACAGTATTATTTAAAACTGATACCCTCCTACCATCAAATTTATTTAAATACATACTTCACTATTAACAACATTCATTTGTTTAATCTAACTAAATAAACTACTTCATATTTCTTACTTCATTTTCATTCCTAATTCTATCACAGATGTATACCTCAGATGGTCCAATTTTCCTCTTCTAACTGAAATTTTGTACACAGTTACACCCTATCCCACTTTTGTATTTAAAGAAAGGCACTACGTACTAATTTTCATGAGGCCATCTAGCAACATCTATTGTTATTCTACTTTTCCCAACAAAGGTTTTTATTTCACCAGCCATTTTCTTCAGACTACTTTTGTCTTGACTACAGTATTTCATAAGTTTCCTATTTCTTTATTACAATTTTGCTGTAAAAACATATACTGTACAGTACATTGTTAAATTCATCACTGGGAGTGTAAATATGCAGCTATTTATGGTACAGTATTTCGAAAGACCTTGTACAATAGTGCAGTACTATGAAACTGGTAATTGGAAATCAGTGCCGTAAACCAAGCAGTAACAAAAATAAACAAAACTAGAAAATATTTCCCATAAGCTAGTTTTATATTTAGTCACAGAGGTGATAGGCCTAGGTCTAAATGTTCCGACCACCACTGTCATTAAGATCCACAAAATGACAAAGAAAAACAGCAGTGGCTCAACATCTATTAACAGAGAGCCCAATAATACAACAAAAAAGATGTCTTGTTTTATAGACTGGTCAAGTTTTGAATGTCTACCTCAACAGTACTGTAGTTATACAATACTATATATATGCTCAATATAAACTATTCAAACCAAACTACATTTTTTGTTACAACAGGCTTAAATCTGTTCACCTACATTATTACAGAATATTAATAAAGGTTTACATCTTGTCATTATATCAAGTATGGTTATATATTAACTATACACTCTTTAGTGGGCTAGCCAGAGGCTTAGGGCCTGCACAGGAATATTGCAGAGAAAAAATATATATACTCAAAATTCCTTCATGTTAACTAAATAAATATAAGTGACTTCTATATTTTTAATATGCCGCCGAGATACTGTCACTACGGAATGGCATTTTGCATACTGGTTATTTCGTCCATAACTTTTGCTAAACACTTTTGTATTTTGTAACACTGTATACAGTACACCTACTCTACACAATATTTTGTTCTCATTCCTCATGAGCATTATGAGTTAGTCTAAAACATCTGAATGTGAACCACCAGAGAAAAAAACTTATCCATGCTTCAATTCTATTGGAAACTCACATCCTAAAATTTATTGGGACAAAGAAAATTTAAAGTCTAAAGCAAAAGACTAACCAATATGCGTGTTGTTGTACAATTAATCACATACAACTTTATGGTACTTAATTTCTTCTACAGCTACATTAGCTTCTTGCATCTCATGACTAATTATTATGACTAACAGATGTTCAATATTGAGGGGTACTGCATCTGGACGAGTTGTCCTATTTCTATATTGCTCCTTCCAGCTAGCCAGGATTTTCTGGATGTTTAAGCTAAGAGGTTAAATACAAACAAGGCTAGCTTTGGATGAAATATATTAAAAGGTAATCAACTCATAAATAATACACCAAATATTATAGTAATTGTTGGTTGTTGTAGTTTAAAGGGCTGTAACAGTTAAATAACCATACAAATTATTTTGTCCAATATTTGGCATATATTTGCCTTGATGCTGAAATCGAGCCAAATAATATGTTGAATCCATTGGCTCCAGGCATCAATTCAAGAAGGTGCCAGACTCTCTCACTGCTCAGAGATCAAACAGGAAAACTTAATACCAACTTCCTCGTACTTCCAGGCAATATATGCATAATCACTGTACGTTATATATGCATAGGTATTGTTCCTTTCTGGGTAGCGGAATATGAATGCTTTTCAGGTGGGCACTATTAGTGCCCACCAGGCAAAGAATTAGTGGTTTTCCAGTGACCCCCAAAGCAGAGCAGGAGCCAGACATCCACCCAGCTTTGAGGCTGAACCAAGAGTCAAAATACTAAAATATGTTTTGGAAGGCACTTTTAAATCATACAACACAATTCTAAAATATCTACTCTGGATTCAAACTGCAGAAACCGCACTATCTTGAAAAATTGTGAACTGCAAACATTACCACCACCAACTACTGTTTGTAAATAACCCAGTAGAATCCTCACCTAACCTAGAGAAATAAAAAACAATTGAGCAGTAGAAATAGCTTCCCTCCAGAGTCAGATACCCCCTAACATTTCCCTCAAAACAAATGATTTACACTTGAGAAGCTGTATTAATAATCTGATGAGCTTTACAACAACAACTACTGCTTTAACTACTAGTGAAATGAGCAGCCACCAGAGCCCCCCCATGGGCCTGGAGGCAGGGTGACGCCGTCAACAGACAACCAAAGCATGGGACAGTCACTTGGGGAGGCCTGTCTCTCTCACTCACCAGCCTCCCCCACAAAAACCACTGTCCTCGTGGGGGTCACAAACTCCAAATACAACTGAAACAAGTTACAAAAGAGGCATAAAGAAATCACTGACGTACCCATTCTTCAGGAACGCCAAGAAGCACCGCTAGATGTTAATTAGAGATGTATCTAGTATCCCCCGGAGGTGATGCCGCGACACAGCTTACTCCCACAAGCTAGGGCCCCTGCCAGAGTGTAGCGCCAATAGGTATTCAATTAGGGTGAAGAGAGATATCCTCTATTAAACTTTTCATTATAATATGATTAACTTCTATCAAGACAGACGTGCTATAATAGTGACTTGCCTCCGTGACAGGTGAATTTATTGTTTTCCGTGCGTGCTGCGAGCGGTAATGGCGTCTACCAAGCGAGCGGCTTCAAATAATAAACAAATAGAAGCTAAAATTGTATAATTCTTATTGCTATAAAAATGTTAATAGAAAACGTCGAGCTCTTAAATTATTTATATTTATTGAATTATTAATATTTTGTAATATTATGTATATTTCTAAATTGTATACTGACAAAAGTTAAATATTTAGAACTTGATTTGGTTGTACAGTGTCGTATAAACCGCGAAAATAACCCTAAACATACAAGGATAATATAGCTGAAAATAAGAGATAACGTGTTCTCTTCTGATCAACAGTAATATAGAAATTGAAATTAGACCTTGGTGAAGGGAGAATACAATATATAGCTTTACAAAATTAGGAGATTTTGCACACGCCCTGATGTTTACTATGACGTCACGGTGGAGAACCCGACCGCCTCTAGGATATGGCTCCGGTTCAACCCAGCTTACTAAGGATAATTCGGTGTGACGGGGACAGAAAGCCTATACTTATGTATTTTTTAGGCTTGTATCGAGGTCCCCCCTCACCCAAGGTCGAATTATTGACCCTGTCTAAGAAACAACCCCCACAACGGTTGATTAATTAGTTAGGTGAATAGACGCATTAGATGAAAGAAAACGTGCCCAACCATTTTTGTCCCGCCCGGGAATTGTGAGACCCCCCTATTCTTGTACTCCACCCAAGCTAACATATCAACACTGCAATTTGCTAAGCTAAATGAATTTTATGGTTCAGTTCCTGAGCTCATTATTTGGAATATATGTGCCTCGGTAACTATTTCCACTAGTTATTCCATCTATCGTCATATTATTATGCTGTAAACTTATAGATGTTACTACTGCTAGTCTTAGGTTTTGCTACAAGCACCTCTGGGATACGGATAAAAATCACACTAACTTGATGATCAATAAGAATATCAAGTACAGCAATGCGGTGACTCAAACCAGCGATCTGAGTGCTCCCAGCCTCTCACATTACCCCCTGTACCACGACATGGTATAAGCTATACAACCATGGATTACACTGAATCCACAGGAAGTCTGTTAATTTGGTATGGTCCAAATAAGATTACGGAGATGACACGTGTTTTGTGAGGTAGGGATGACGGTGGCGTCTGGCCGGCTGGAGTGAGGTCGAAACAGGTGACGCAGGGGTAGGGAGGGAAGGGTGAGGGAGGGGGTATGAGGTAAGGTGAGGCTGGGGGTGGGAGGGAACTAATAAAAGATGAAAAAGTTTTTATTTTTCTTGTTTTTCTGACGTGGCTGCAGCCTATCTAAACTTGCTGCTCGGATGCCTTACATGTACGCCTGAGAATGTGTATAGCTTTAATTAAAAACCCAAATAAAAATTTAAAACCTACTCTAATTTAGTTTTGACGCCACATTCTTAACTGCCGGCCATATAAGAAAAACCCTGCCTATGACTGGCCCGAATGGTTGACAGCATCTTTCGTAGTTCAGGTTAATAATCTGCATTTAGTCAATCGGTCCCATTAACGATGCACCTGGGTCAATTAATAAGGATCTCGACGTAAAGCTTAGTTGTATGGTTTTGGTTCTTGTATATATATATTAATTTGTACACTGGTAAATGGAGCTTATTAAATGTTATTCTTCGTAAGTAGCCTATATAAGTAAGGCAGATATTTAATATCTCTCCACCTCACACCCGGCCCCCTCTTAACAACACTACTTCATACTAGCTCATCATGGTGTATATTTTAACTAGGCCAAGGTCGCATTAATTAATACTGCCTATTAAGATATATAGGAATACAATACATACATACAATATATAGGAATGTATTCCGCTAGGAATACACGCTCTCTAATCCACATGTATCTCAGTGGAAGGAACGACGATGTATGGGGTGCATAATGAACGAACTATAGAATAATCTAAAATCCAGTGTTAGTCGTACTTGGGTCGCCAGCTGGGTCCCGAGTTCAAGTTAATGGCCAAACAGATGTACATAGACTACCATAGTATAAGACTAATTGGCTTTGCTCCACACATACAGAGACCCACAGCTCATCTTTGGGAGCTTCCCTTGGGTGCTTTATTTCAGGCCACAAAGTATTATATGCGTCTCTGCCTTCTTTTTTTTTTATCAGAGGCAATGTATTAGACTGGAGAAATGTTACTAGTGAAGTACCCTAGGGTTCAGTTTTAGCACCAGTAATGTTCATTGTCTATATATATATATATGATCTACCTGAAGGGATATATAATTATATGATCATTTATATATTAATATACAAGAAGATACATTGGGTTGTGAGAGTACATAACATTGGTGTTCTTACATTCGTGTAAAGCCACTAACACGCATAGTGTTTTGGGTTGGTCCTCTAACATAAAAATAAGAGTAGTTAAAAGGGTAATTTCATTCAACATAATCGCTGGTGATGCCAAGTTAATATAGGAAAGATAAGAAACTTAGACGATTGTCATGTTTCTGGAAGCACTATCCCTAATGCACTAATGGGAATGGGAAGCACTAATCCCACTATCCCCACTAGTAGAAAAAATAGCTGATGCCATGCTCAGTGCCACAACATCAGACAAGGAGAAAGCCCGCCTCAGAGCAGGGCATACCCCCCCAGGTAGGGGACTTCCTCCTGGCAGTACCCACATCAGCAATGGGCTCGCATCTAAATCCAGAATCCCTTCGTGTAGCAGCGGCCCTCCGCCTTGGTGCCCCAATTCACACTGAATACAAGTGTATTTGTAACAGGGTGGAAGCAGACCAATATGGACTGCATGGGTTGCATTGCGGAAGCACAAAGGGATGGCATGCAAGACACAATGAGGTCAATGACATCATCAAGAGAAGCCTCGTCTCAGCTCAGTGCCCAGCGGAGAGAGAACCTCGTATCCTAGGGGACTAAAACCCGGATTTCCCCACACTTTGCCCTGATGGCATCACCATATACTCCTGGAAGGAGGCTAGACAGTTGGTGTGGGACTACACATGTGTATCCACCCTGGCTGACACCTATGTACACCTCGGAGCTGATCAAGCAGGTGGGGCGGCCAACCACAGGGAAATAGCAAAATCAGCCAAATACAGGCGATTGGAAGGTCGATACACCTTTGTTCCCATATTGTCCAAGATGCATGGCCCCTGGGGCAAAAGTGCCTTGGGATTTCTCAAGGAATTGGGCTCCAAGCTCATTGACGTCACCAGAGACCCAAGAGCTCCCAAGAGTTTTTTGTTTCAGCGCCTCAGTGTGGCAATCCAGAGGGGAAACGCCTGCTACATCCTCGGTTCCTGTCCGAAAGTGGAGGAGCTTCAAGAGATCCATAACCTTTAAGCACTCTTTGTATCAACCAATGCATATCTTGTAACCTTTAAATACATAATAAAGCAAAAAAAAAAAAATCAAAAGGAAGGGGGTGGTAGGAGAAAAGGTTCCCGTTCTCGCAAATTTAATAAGTCAATATTGACTTATTAGTTGCGTGCATAGGTGACATACTAAACATAATAGTTTCCCTTGAAAAGCTTCATAGAAAACACCGACTTTACCTAACCTACTTAGTATGTTAAAATAAGCATCTTATAGCTTCGTAATTACAATTGTTACTTAACCTATTATAGGTATAGGTTAGGTAATAATTGTAATTACGAAGCAATAAGATGCTTATCTTAACATACTAAGTAGGTTAGGTAAGGTCGGTGTTTTCTATGAAGCTTTTCAAGGGAAACTATTGTTAAGTATGTCACCTATGCACATATTTAATAAGTCAATATTGACTTATTAAATTTGCGAGAACGGGTTGGAAAAGCATACAGAAACTGAATTGGAGGGGACCTAAACTTTCCCTCTAATGCGTTATGTGTGGTTTCCTCCGAGGCTAAGGGTCCCCTTCTTCCAGCCAGAGGTGGTACTCTTAACAAAAAAAAAAATATATATATATATATATATATATATATATATATATATATATATATATATATATATATATATATATATATATATATATATATATATATGTTCATAGCAAAATTATACAAGGAGACAGTCATCTTATTTTGTTCCTGTCTGAAAAGTGCTAAATGCTTTATGATACATGATATTATGTTCTCATGTGACGAGCCTGGTTAGCGAAGCATATTACTGCAATAATGAACATATGGTACAAAATAACAAACCGGCAACTATATTTTAAGCACAGGAGCGATGCCAGATAAATTGTTCAAAATTTTACATTTTAGACCTTCCGAGTACATTAATCATGCTTTGTCACACCAACACAAATTTAACAAACATAAATACATCTATAAAGCTATCAGATTAGCAAATCATCACTTTAAATGTTATATGGTTCAAATCTAAATTATTAAGAGCAGCATGAAAGGAAGTAACCTCATCCGTAAGTGCTGAAATGTTGCCGTCTTAAACATTTATCACGTTCAATATACCAGTATTACATATGAACAAATGAGTGTCAGTATTACCAATATGTGAAAGATTTTTATTATAAACAATAAATAAGCATAGGATAAAAGGAAAAATATAGAAGGAAGTAAAGCGTCATGGCAACCGGAGGAGGTACCGTAGGCTGGGGCGTCGACACCCCATTCTCTGGTTAGTGTGGGCGATTCGCATCTCCTGTACGCACATCAATGGTCTTTTGCACCGGCCCACTTTCAGACAGTGATATGACACCAGTTCGAACAAATCGCGCGTGGCTGAGAAACTTACAGCATTGGAATCCTGCCATCATATTTGACTGAAGGTAACGAAAATGTCAAAATTCAATCTTGACAAAAACTAGTGTAATTTAAACGGGTATCATATACAGTACATTGTTTTAATGAGCATATTATATTAAATGTTGCAATGTACCAAACACACCCAAAAATGAAACAGACGGTGTAAAGCTCAACCATAAATAATAGGTTCGCGCTAAGTGTATATACGTAGTAGTGGTCCAACAGATGCATGTTTTTGTCTATATATGCTTTACCTGCGGGTCACAAACGATTCCATTCAACATTGCACCAACTCGATCTTCGTTCACTTCCAGGTATACCCCCCATGAGAGTTTTTGTGATCTTATTATAAGGAAAATATGTATGAACGTTAGTTAACTGTGTTGCTCCTCTCTTAAATAGTCTCTGCATGGAAAGTCCAGGATTAGAAATCTGGAACCTCACTTCCGCCTTGGAGACTGGGTTAACACGCATTTCAGAGGCAAGTCAAGAATAGTACTGTTTGTTCACATGATGTTTATTTTAGAAGAGTCACATCTGCAAAAAATTAAACGCTTAATTGGTCGGTGGCATCTAGAGGGAGTGTTTTAATTATAAAGTTGCATGAATAAGTAGTCGCACTCACTACATGTAGCAACCTGAATACATTTTGAGACGATGTGTATCTACAGAGAATAGTAATTCACTTAAATTTGTACGTATATGCATGGGAGGCTTTAGCAACGGTTGTGAAGTACAGATCTGCTGTAACCATGCTAAACACGCCTTTAATTGTTGGATTTGTGGAGGATTCGCTGTCGTAAGTTTCCCCGGTAGTGCAAATGGGTTCATTCTCGATTCTCACTCGAGGATTAACTGCTGAAACTTATTACAGTTATGCAAGTAGTGGTTGAGGCAATGTCCATTTGGTCGTCCACAAGATTTGTACTTGTTTTCTATTTGTAATATTTATACGAATTTTCCAAGCATGTTGATTGTCTATAGTAGCAGTGTATGTAATATCCGTCCTTCATCCTTGGTGGTTCCTGTACTGAAGGTTGGTTATCTGTACCCCGGTAACATATCTATCAGGCAGCTGATAGGAATGTAACAGAGAGGGCTGTATTTCCCAAGGAATCTGTTGCCATCATCGTCCTATAATTTTTTGTAGTTGATTCTTACTGGGATGTTAACTTCTAGTCTCTTGACTTGCTTCCTCTGTGACTAATTTGTCTGCAATATTATTTTATTAGATCCTTACATGACTAGTGATTCCCTATATTTATGACTTTTTACCCTCTTAACCGAAGATTCTGGATTAAGAAACACTAAGCTAACAGTGTAAATCTAATCACCTTATATCTCCAATAAGGTGAATAGATCGACACTGTTAGCCTAGTGTTCTTTTAGAATTTGATTATAAATATAATGTACATGTTTAAGGTACATTTTAATAGCGAATATTTCGGTCTGTTGTGTAGCGGCAGTGTTAGTTACTCTTTGACTAGTGGAACAATTGGAAGAGCATAAAACTGCTGCTTTCTTGACGTAGACCATTCGTGCTTGAGCCCCTTGTGCATTCCACTGTACAATTTTTAATTTTTCCTATCTTTTTTTTTTGGTCCTGGCAGGACATGTCCTTCACCAAGTATAATGCCATAAAAAGCATCAGCTCTGTCCTTCTAAAGTTTGTTGTGTAGTGTAGGTTGGAGCACACTACATTTTTCCGTTGTTGCATTTGGCTCTTGTGTGCCAAATGTCATCTCTGACACTGAAAGCATCTGGATTCTGTGTTTGTGTCCAAACGATTACCCGTTTTGGAATTTCTCCCTTCAATTGGAGTATGACTTCGTTGCTGGGGCCTGGTCCCTTCTTACTGTGCTTTACTGGAAGAATGGGAAATCGCTGACAAGTCGCTGGCTTCCTGTCCCCCGACACAATTAATTATTTAATTTGTCTACTACACTTACTGCCGGGTGATCGATAGTGTACTACAAGAGGATTATCTTTGCTACCTTCTAATTGCTATCGATCTTAACATGTTCTTGTACCGGCTCCTGAAGGTGATATTCTTCTTCCAGTGTTGCTACTGCTTGCAGGTCTCTCGCTGTGAGTACTGGTTGTATCGCATGATGAAGTTTTCTCTAAGTTTTGTTTAACAAGATATTCCAGATACCCGTTATTTGGCAGGTTATATCTTGTCTAGCTCCTCTGGGAGCCTGAACGTCATCTTGCCGCAGTTGTCCCTCATTCCACTCTTCGGAATTTCTACATTTTCCTGTGTTGGAAACTAGAAATTTGCATGGAGCTTCATTTTTTTCGTCTTGCATGAAGCTAGTTGAGTCTGCAGACTCACCGTTGTTACTACACGTTATTTAATCGATGGGACTGCATATACCAATCACATCGCTAGCATTATCGTTCTAGACCCTAGAGAGTAATGTATCACTCGTTATTTGAATCCATAAATTAGAGGTATATTATACTCGCTGCCCTACCTAGTTCCAGAGCTTGGCTAAAGATCGCTCCCCCTCCCCCCTGACGCTTTACAGGGTTTGGAGAGTAAGGGCAACCTGTTACATCCTATGTGCCTGTCTATTCCAAGAATATGCCACCCGTCCATGCTCAAGCTTAGCGAATCCATTTATGGCAATGCAGACGGAGAACGTCGCAGTGTTTTGGGGTGTGGCCACTTGCTATTGCAAGAAGCACATGACCCCCGCGCCCTTAAGACCCTGCAGAGGCTAGGTAGCGATATCACATAGATGTGCTTTCAATGTCAATCTTGTGCGCTTATTGCATTTAGGTGTTTCCCCACGTCCCATCCCAAATCCTTATCCTGACCCCTAAGTGCTATATAGTCGTAATGGCTTGGCGCTTTCCCCCTGATAGTTTCCTTTCTTCCATGCATGTAGGTGCATACATGCGTTCACGTGATGTGTTAATGTGGATAAATTTGTCTTTTTTGGTTAAAGAAACTAAATACAAGTAACTTTTTGAGGTATATAACACTACATTATTATTATTATAATCATAGACTATGTCAAATGCTGGAACTTTACAACGATTTAGCATAAAATCAAACGTAAGTTAATAAATAAATTAATGAATTCAATTTATTCACCGGTTGAGTTGAGTGGCCGTATCAGTTCGTTTCAAACTTTCTATGAACGCTGCGATTTATTTGACATTTGTTCTATGACAAATCGCCTTCATCTTTCCGTGTATTTTTTTATGCCGAATATTAGGTTATTGATTACTTTATCAGTTACCTTGCGATCATTCAGAGGTTCAACTTCCCTGCGGCCCGGTCTGCTGTTTCTCTCTTCTCTCAAATGCCAAACGCCTCCACGCAGCTTTGATCTTTATTTAAACTTTGATCGTGACTGTCATGCCATTTTGTTGGTTACATGTGGCAATGATGGGGATAAGGTCAAACTGAGTCATACACATGCAAAGTAAACAAATAAGTAAATTTTACAAAAATTATTTTTTTTAAATTTTACAAAAATAATCTGTAGCCTATATTTCCTGAAGAGTTGTTTCAATCCATTTCCAGCTTTTACAAAATTAAGCAGCACCAAGATTTTCATCAGTGAGCCTAAAGAGTTTGGGTGATGTTTGTGTGTATACAGAGATAAATATAAAGTAGAGCACAAGACGACCATGAAGCAGGGTTGCCTACGTAGTGCTGCCGGTGGCCGAAGAGCTTTGTGTGAAGCATGGACGGAGAGCTTGAGCGAGGCCGGGGGTAGAGTGCTCGTAGGAGGGCGAGAGCGTAGAGCTCGATTAAGGACGGGGTGAGAGCCGGTAGCTCCAATAATAAGGCCGGAATTGGCTATCTGCTCTGTAGCGTGTGTGAGACTCGTCGAGTATTACATCATATGCTGATGAATGTCGATATTGATTGATTGTTGCCGCCGGATTCGGCTAGCTTATAGCCTAAGCTACTCTATCCCTCTGAGATGTATTTTTTTCTTGTCTCAATAAACATACTTGGCTAGTTTATTGTGCACCCAATCCTCATCGAGTATTTTTGAGCGGTAGTGTTAAAAAAGGATTACAGGGGACACAAAAAGTGTTTTTCAGACCTCAATGGAGATTATTATATTAACACTAACATCTATCCTACACACCTTATAATTATAATGTCTGCTAGTTATAAAGAATGTTACATTTTAATAGCTATGTATTTACAGTTAATCATTATACATTAATGGTAGGTTTTATCTTAAATAATAATTGTTTGAACTATGAAAATATTACAGGGTCATAGGCTGTAATATATAAAACAGGCTGCTGTTTATTATTAGTCTTTACAATACACTACACTACTTGCTTCTTAATCTCATACGTCGTTTATCTAGAAGCGAAATATGCATACACTGGAAGGATTTCAGATATTTTATCCTTAGTAGTAAGATGGTTTGCCATTTCATACAGTGTGAGTTTAGATTTATCTCTCGATTATAATTTTATTAGTATAAGATATAATGTGTCTATGACTTTACTTCATCTAGATCCCTATACAAGCTCAACTGCCAGAGATACCTGTAGCCAAGTGTTATTCGAGCTGTGAAAACTGCGTAATTGGAGAAAATATCCGAGGACGCTTCCAAAGCGTTTGTCACTGAACAACTGCTGGAGTTAGACTGACGATGCTATGCAAGTACGCACGAACTTAGTTTTTTTCTAAATCTTCGACGACTTTGTTTACATTTATTAAACACTTTACAAGCATCGAAACATCACAATCAAATGGTATTATTGTTATAAACAGCTTCTTACTGCTTCGGAGCTCATAAACTGTTTAATAAACGTAAACAAAGCCGTCAAAGATAGAGAAAAGATGTATAGGTCCGTATGTACTTGCGTAATTGCTTGATGAATTCTCCTGATTGATTGATAAAGATTAAAGTCACCCAAAAGAATCCCGCCCCCTTTCTGTTCGGTATATATATCCACGCTTCACCGGACCGTATTGGACACAGTTTGCATCTGGCAAGTTGGTCATCATTTGGCCTGATGGGAAGCTCTCCGTTACTTTAGGCTTTCACGAGTGATTCGTGGAAACGTTGGGGAACATGCCCGAACGCTTTGCGTAATAGTGGGCATTTTGCATAATAATTTCGGGCGTTTCCTGCCCGAAACGCTTTGCGTAATAGTGGTTTTAAGCATTGTATGTACTAGCTCTATCTATAAATTCATCAATATTTGTATCACCCCTTGTATGTATGTACTTTACCTGAATAAACATTTGATTGTTTTTTTTTGCTAGGGTAACGCTATGCGTTTTAACGCTAACGCTGCCCAAAACGTTATGCGTTAGTGGCTTTGCAAGACTGTAAGAACATCAATGTTATTTACTCTCACAACGCAGTGTACCTTCTTGTATATAAATAATAAAAAAATACCATGTATTAATATAATTACAATGTCATTAAGTTAATTACAAATTTCATTAGTGGTTAGTGAATATGATTGTAAATGTCAATAGTGATTAGTGAATATGATTGTAAATGTCAATAGTGATTAGTGAATATGATTGTAAATGTCAATAGTGATTAGTGAATATGATTGTAAATGTCAATAGTGATTAGTGAATATGATTGTAAATGTCAATAGTGATTAGTGAATATGATTGTAAATGTCAATAGTGATTAGTGAATATGATTGTAAATGTCAATGGTGATTATAGTGATAAGTAGTTGCCACGTTAGATAATGTATGCTATACTATCTTAACTACTGACAGCCATATCACTTCACTATCTTAACTACTGACAGCCATATCACTTCACTATCTTCACTGCAAACAACCTGCTACACTACATATCTTCATTGCAAACAACCTGCTACACTACATATCTTCATTAAATAGTTTTCATCTCTATAATCATCACTACCCGAGCACCCCTGGGTTCCCGTCCAAAAAATTCCGTCCACCATCTTCCTTACCCTTCAATGTCTTTCATCTCCTACATCAACTCTCTCCTTCACCACCTTCATTATCTTCCCTCTTCATCACAAACTTCCCTCTCCTTCACCACCTTCCCTACTCTTTACTGCCTTCCCACTCCTTTGCCACCTTCCATAACCTTCATTATCTTCCCTATACTTCATCACATTTCCTACTTTTCCCCACCTTCTCTCATTTACCACCTTCCAATCCTTTACCATCTTCCCTCTCCTTCCCCAGCTTTTTTACCATTTACCACCTTTCCAACCCTTCACATCCTTACCCTTCATTCCTGAACCCATTTTCATTAAACACTGTCATCGTAAAAAAAAACTACATAAGATAAACTAACACTTAATCATGCAGAAAATATGTTAGGTGAATCTTAATGACGATGAAGTGTGGTATTTAGCGACTCTGGAAATTAGTTTAATTTGCTATTTCATGCAAAGAGGGAGGGCTCGACTCGACCCACCTATGACCATCCTTGGCCAAAGACAAGTCACCTTGTCTTTGGTGACAAGCTGACCAAAGTTTCTGGAGGCTAGCCTCTGCAAAGATTGGTGAGGCTAGCACCAAGTGGCTAGCTCCCAACTTCGAACAGAGACATGCTTTGTTATGTCTGCTGTATACTAGATGGGCTACCCGGTGGTGGCCAGGTCTCTCTTCAGACATTAATTCAACGTCGATAACGTTGATTCAACGTCGATGATGTTGATTCAGCGTTGACTCGACATCGATAATGTTGATTGAACATGGATGAAATGTTATTCAAGTTGGCAAAACATGCTCACCGGGAGAGAGAATGGAAGGAATAAAATGAGAGAATGGGAGGCAAGGGGGAGGGAGATTGGGAGGCAAGTCAGGAAGGAGGGATTCTGGGAGGTAAGGATAGAGGGAGACTGGGAGGGAAGTAAGGAAGGAGGGATTCTGGGAGGGAAGGAGTGATATAGGGAGGAAAGTAAGGAAGGAGAGAGAGACTGGGAGGGAAGTAAGGAAAGAGAGAAACTGAGAAGTAAGGAGGGAGGGAGGAATAAGGGAGGGAAATAAGAGGGAAGAGGGAAATAAATAAGAATAAGAGTGGGAGGGAAGTAAGGAAGGAGGGATTCTGGGAGGTAAGGAGGAAGGGAAGGGGTGAAGTAGGGAGGAAAGTAAGGAAGGAGAGAAACTGGGAGGGAAATAAGGAAGGAAAAAAGATTGGAGGTAAGGAGGGAGGGATTAAGGAAGAAGAGAGACTGGGAAGTAAGGAGGGAGGAGGAAGACTAGGCAGAGATGGAAGAAGAGAGCCTGGGAAGTAAGGAGGGAGACTGAGAGGATAAGGTGAGGGAGGAAGACTGGGTTAGGTGTGGGGAGAGAGAGAGAGAATGGGAGGGAGGGAGAATATGAGGGAGTGAGAAGAAGTGGGAGGGAGGGAGAGAGAGAGACCCAGGCACCACTGGGTGTCCCATGTAATATATCCTATAAGAGAGAATGTCTGTCCGATTGCTTGAGGTTGGAGGCCAGATGCTTGGGGCTAGGGAGGTAGGAGACATCAGACGAGCATATGTCGGCAGGGAGGGAGGAGATGGGGAGTGTATGTGGGAAGACAGGGAGGGTTTGTAGGAGTGTTATGTGGAGTGTGTGTGTGGGAGTACCCAGTGATGCTCAGGCTAATCCAGTGGCCAGGTTTTCCTAACATATTCTCCCCCATATCCAGTACACACTCCCACCCTATCTTTCTTCACACACTCCCTCCCCATCTCCCAACACTTGTAACACTCTTCAATACATGTTGTTGTCACTGTAAATATCTTCATACCATCTACATTCCCCACCACACACACCCATCTATCTTCCTCTTGCACACATTCAAATTCCAACACACCCTCCTCATGTTCCCCCCATATACATTCCCTGTTTTCTCCCTCCTTGCCCACACATGCCATTTCCAGATCTTCCCCCTCTGCTTACACATGCCCTTTTCCTGTTTCCTACTTCCCTCCCACACATTCCCTTCCCCAGTCTACTCTCTCCTTGCCCAAACATGCTCTTTCCCATCTCCCTCTCTGCCCAAAACACTCCATTTCCCTATCAATGTAACCAAAAGGTTGTGGCTAGAATGTAAATTTGTCTTCTGCACACGTTTTGAAAATCAGTACTGTATCTGAATTCACTACAGTACTACTGTATTTAAACTGATGTTAAACTCTATGGGTTTGGGGCTGAACATTTCAGATCCACAGACTTCATGAAAGAGGAGCATTGGGGCCATGCCCCCCCTTCACGTGGGAGTCATTGGGCTGGCCCTAACTTCCCCCCTTTATGCCACTCCTGATAAAATCACCATTATTCTTAAAAAGCTTAATGAGGCTAGCTCCAAGCATCTGGCCTACAACCTCAAGCAGACATTCTTATGGATGTAGATACTGTATATAGATATAATAACGTGTCTTTTTATTTGTATGAGGATATAAAATATACAAGAGGATATCTATTTGTTCAAGGTTGGAGGTCAGATGTTTGGGGCTAGCCTCACCATACTTTGCAAGGTGACTAGTGGGTTTAGTGGGATGGTCATAGGGGAAATTGGGATCAGCCCCCATGACTTCCTTCATAAAGGTGGAGCTGAAATGTTTGGGGCCGTGTCTGTAGAGTTTCATCTTTTGTTCATTATATTATTCAGATATATGGAAAAACCCCAATCTCTGTACATTGCCTAGGTGGGACACCTGTGCATATACAGTACAGTATTTATATAAATAAAATTTGATGTAATTGTGTTTATTGAAGATTGGAGGTCAGACACTTGAGACCAGCCTCCCCAAAGTTTTCAGTGTGAATGGGTGGTGTAGTGGGACTGTTATAGGGAGACAGGGGTTGCCACCCATGCTCTCCTTATTGAGGGCTAGGGGTTGGCTTTCATTCCCTCCTTCATAGTCCTGTTGAAGTCAATAAGAGGAAGATGTGACAACATGAGCGTTCTGAGGACAAATTTGCATTCTGGGGGGCTCCCAATACATACATATACTATATGTTAAATGTATCTTATTTGACCCCGTATGATGTTTCAGTATTATATATTGATTTTTATTTTCAGCACATGGAAACACTATCAGCAGTAAAACATCAAACTGAAAGGCTTACGCCAACAACCAAATTCTATTTTGCCTCATTACATTCTAAAGAAACTCGTGCAAGAAACAGCGTGTACAGTTAACAGTAGGCCCATCAGGCAGCCTTCAATCTGCAAACGCAGAAGCCATGGCTACTGTTGCAGGACTGGATGGGGTGCTGGGCTACCTCGGTATCCCACACCCTTGTGTCACTGTCCATCTCCTCCTCACACTAGGTAACTATCCCACCTCTTTATGACTTGCCACATGTAAAAAAAACAAAATATTTTAGTGTTAAGGGTGAGTTTGTTAGTAGTCAACTACAGTTCATGTGGATTTTTTTTCACTTTAGTGTTTACTGTGTCAAGATAACTTAGTTGGCATTTGAGAAAATGAAAGTTCTATCATTATCAAATAGTATTGGCTTAGTGTTGTGGCCTTTGGAACATTACTTAATTACCTCAGCTAGGCCTCTGATCACTGCCACATCCTGGGTACACTGGTACCATGTCTTTCTTGATGATGGTTAACTGTGCTTATTGGTTGGTGGAGTTAACTATGGCTGGTGGTAGTATAAGCTGTTCTTGTAGAGGGTTCAGCTCTTATTTCCTGGTACTCATCTAACTGTACTGTACTTACAGAAAGTTGAGCTTCATATCTCTGGTCCCACCTTTAAATTTTCAGTCAACTGGTGGGTAGGCTTGAAACTACTGTATGTATATAATCTGCCTCCACCACTTCACTTTCTAGGACATTCCCTTTCTTTGTTCATATGACATACAGTACAGTATTGATAAATGTATTTATACAATTTCTTTGATGTCGAATATTTCTAAATACAATTTAACATGTTTGTTACAATCATTTTGATTTTCCCAAATTGTAATTTCTTTTTATCATATTTTAACATTCCCTCTCCCCTTTTCACACTTATAAGAACTAGGCCTGTGTATCTTACAGATTTCATAAAGCCCATAAAGGCAAAACGATCATCTTTGAATAAAATACACTACTGAACTTTCTTCTTGGCATTTTTCTGAATCATAAACATTTACACTCTACTACTTCTGAACAAATTCAACATTTTCTAAGAAAAAAATGGCTAGGAAATGTTTAAAGTTTCATTGAATTTTTCAGTTAAATATATACATTTCAAGTACTGTACAGTACTAAAGAACATAAATCTTCAATACAAAAAAATTGGCTCCAACTTTTTAATTATATTTTTACATACTATACTGTACAGTACAGTATGGCAAATTCATTGTTCCCCCCCCAGTAAATAAAATGTTTATATAAACAGTTTTTAAAATTTGAAACATAAATGCATGCAAGGGGCAATACAGTAGCTTCAAGCTCAACAAGCCACAATGTAGGACAGTATACACAGGAGATACATTTTTCACCCATAGGGTAATAAACCTATGGAAGTACCTACTCACCAAAGTCATGAATGCCAAAACAATACAGTACAGTACTTCAGCTTAAAATTTGCCTGGGAAAAAAATGTATAGGAATAATGGGGGGGGGGATATTTGACAAGCTGCTGGCTTCCTGTCCCCATCAAGGCCACTAGCATTGGTGGCCCACAGGAAAATTCGAGTAAATCTAATACAGTACCAATTTTTACCATGTTATAGGAATGTTAGTGTTAGGCTTGGGGTCACCGGAGATATCAACACTGCTCCCCATTCCTCTATACAGCTGCTGGGGTGGCCTCACTCCAAAAAACCTATATAGGGTGTAAGTACCTGTATATGATATGTATATGAGTTGGCACAGTGATTTTATTTAATTTAAACACGTGAAAGTCATCTTAATAGTTTTAATGCATGTAGTTTGATAATATATACTATATTTACTGTACTGTACTTGTCATACAGGTGCAAGAATGTGGAGCTGCTACCAGAAACACTCATTGATGATAATCGTACGGTAGTTATGCTTTGCTCTCATTATCACTCATTCTTATGGTAATGTAGTACAAATTAGTTATCTCTTGTCATATTTATGTTCTCAAGTAAAGTTATTGTTATGGACAGTAAAAATACACTGTTTTGTATGTTCTAATTGATGACATATTTCAGATACTAGAGTGTACTTATCAGAAATGGCAGCCGTTCTCCTTCCCTGGCAATGTATTGGTGGGGATGAGAGTAGCGATAGTGCTGATAGCAGGACTGTGTATGGACATATTTGGGAGGCGGAGATCAGCTGTGGCTTGGATGGGCCTGTATTTTGTAGTGTCATTTGCCCGAGCTTTTCCTCCCAATGCGGAATCTGTGGTGTTCTGCGTCACCTTGGAAGGAGCTGCTGCCCAGGCCACCAGTATTGCCCTACTAATGCTGGGTATGTTTTTTTTTTTTTTTTTTTACAAAAGTTAGCCATATTATTATTACTAAGAATATTATTATTACTAAAAATATTATTACAGTACTTAGAATATTATTATTATTAAGAATTTTGAGGAAATCCAGTAGGCCTATAGGTGGGCGCGAACCTATGACCCAGGCATTGTCAGTCGCATACTCTACCATGATTAAGATTATTATTATTACTAAGAATATTAATATTAAGAAAATTATTATAATTACTAAGAATATTATATATTATTAAATTAATATGTATTACTGTATTTTACAATTTATGCCTGAAGTCGGTAACCGGAAGCAGTTATAATATTTACCGCCTCTACCACAATAATGTAATGCTATCAGAGGTCATAGTGTAGAAAGCATTCTTGCCCTTTATGCAGAAAGATAACATGCAATTGATGCACCAATGAATTCGGAAAAAACAGAAATGGCATCTGTGTTAATACAAACAATAGTAACTGGCTGTAAGCTCTCCTTATTACTCTTGCAACTAGAGGCATTGAATGTGGCCCTTATTGTCCCCACAGAAAGAAACATGATCTTTTACCCCAAAAATTAACTAACCTTCCTAATTTTTAACATCAATAAACGTGACAAAAATTACAGGCAATACAAATATTTAGGAACGGGTATTAACAATGATACTGTAAGTGAATTACATCTTGTATGAAATTATATGTGAATTGCGTCGGGTAAATTCAGATAAATTCATGTAAATCTAAGGCTTGAAGAAAGACTAAAACCTCTAAAAAGCACTTGTTGCTAAGCACTCTGGTATCAGTGTCAAATATGCCAAATTGTTTTATATAATGCTCGTTATGTCCCAAATTTACTATTATGCTTTACACCTTATAAATTGACCCAGCACTAGGGTGAAACCATTGGAAACAATAAATAATGATGAACGAGATGAAACTTCACCATGAATGAAAGAATTGTGCAACCAAACATGACTTTGTGTATCAAGGCCATGAGAAATTCAACATAATCCCACACTGCTCAGAGATAAATTATCTGGTGCTATTTGCAGGTCAGTAGCTGCTACTAATGCACCAGCAGATTATAACAATGCCATTCAAACACAGAGGGTTATATATAACACTAATTGATGCAAGTTAACTTATACTGGTATATATGTAAAAAGTATACAAACTGGCTGAGTAGAAGTGCTGCTAATCTTATCAAAGTGAATATTCTTACTGTAGGCAATGTACCAGCTAATGATATTCAATTCTATCTACATTCTGTAATGAAAGTGTCATACACAATTCGTGCTAATTTTTGCACAATACTGAATTTAAAATTTTGTCTTTGCAGCTACAGAGGGCAGTACACAGACAGAGTGTGTGCGGTCAGTATGCCTGATGTTACTGGGCCATGCTATTGGAGTTGGAGCTGGGACCCCTCTAATTAGGACATTTATACCATCTGATGTTTATTCACAGATGGCTCGGAGCCTGCCATCTTTGGCTTTTGTAATATTTATCATGTA